AAGACAATCAAGCAGTCTGTAGCACTGGTCTAAAAGAGATGTCCCAAATAAATAAGACATAAACAATATCATTAGGATGCTAAGCTAGTCCTCAACATGTCATCTAATGACCACTGGTCAGGCAATGACCGATCAGGCAAAGGGTGGTCAAGCACTTGGCTACTGGATTGTTGTGACCAGCCCACTATGACTGCTATATTAAAAGACATCTTTCCCTGGCTAAGTGAATCCATGTCTCTTGAAATGACTAATGGCTATAAGTATAAATGAAATTTTTTCACAATAACATTTTTCTGATAAGATCTATATTGAATTATAGCTGTTTTAATGGATTCTTTTGTGGTCAACAGGATTTTGCTGGGGGGGGGGGGGTGTTAGACGCTTTGCTCAGCATAATTTGCATGCAAAATCAATTCTAAAATAAAAAAAAGCCAGGTAAGGGGATATGCCCCCCTGTTCTGTGCTCCCCCTCCTTCCAGATCTGTCAGTACACAATAACATACATCTAATATCAGGCATCACTGTATTAATTATGTCAGCCACAAAAGAGTAGAATAACTTTAAGCATTTATACATTTAAAAAATTAAAACCTATATCAAAATAACACAATACCTCAGTTCACACTAATTTATCTTCAAATTCGTTTACGAGGACACAGATGGGCAGTAGTAGCAGTAGTAGTAGTAGTGCTGCTACTACAACTGTTGCTTATCTTTAAACAATTGACTCAGGTATGGTGTAAATTGATTCTTAAGCACCACACTATTAATATCTTCTTTATGTTTTATCACAAGCTACTGTAGTGTTTGGGATTGATCAATAAGCAGCATACATTCTTTGTGAAAGGGTGAATACTGCATTTTTTCTCTACGATGCAATTTCATTATTCAAATCATTTTTGTTAATCTTGTCTCATTATAAATAGAACAAATCAAACTTTTTTCTTCCAAATATAATATAGAACTGTCAAATCACATTTTCAACAACAAAAAAATGCAAAGAGAATTGGCATAAAATATGTACAAAACAGTCAAAAAACAATTATCTTACGTGTACAACAATGTCACCTCACAAACTAATTGTAACATTGATTGAACTTTATGTTGCTCCATCATCTTTATTACATGCAATACCCTAGAAATAAAAATGACTGAAACTTAATGTCACATTGATTGATTCATGACTTTAAAGTCTGTTGAACTAGTCTGAGAAAAAAGTGCCCTGTGCCGGCAGTCAGGCTTAACCATGATTTCAGATATAGAAATATGACAATTCTTTAAGCATTCTCTGAATTAAATCAATGCATCCAATGACTGGGACTGAGTATAAACTTCAAATACCATGTAAATATACCCTATGGGAATGCTTTAAAGCTGCCATATGACACTGTTGGATAGCTTTCAAGTTTCAACTGAAATACTTATAGAGGGAAACCAAATAATACTATATTATGGTTACCATTTGAATATTTCCACTGTTAATTCATTTCACTTGTGAAAAGATAATTATAACAAAGATTTTGACAGACTTTGTGATATTGCAATGTTTTTAGCAGCAGAAAAATTGTAGATACATTTTTGTTTATGTCTTTGTTTTGAGTGATAACCTCATATGAAAACTTCACTGCAAAAAAATTGCCCTCATATATTGACAGTGCTTTATTAATCACCGAAATCTGTTCTGAGTCTTTGTGATTTGTAAAGATTCTTTGCATTCCTGAGTTTTCAACTTAAGTAACAGAATTGCATACACTGTAGTTCTGAAATCCTTCAATCAATCATTCATCACATCATAAACGATACAGCAATAGAAAACAAAGAGAACTATTAGTCAACATGAGTACAAATGCATGTTGTAAATGTGTACAAATGGCATCCAGGAATTTCCTTTTAGAAACTGTGAACAAGTCACATTGAACAGAGTTTTGGATAAAAAAAGTTTTCACTCCAGCAAAATAACATATCTTCATCAAATCAATAAAAAATATGCCAAATCTCTCAAATAATTTTCTTCAATAACCAAACTTCATACATCTTAAGCATTTTCAGCTTATGGTTGTATGTGGATGAAAGCAGGAGGGTATTATGGCAAGTCCAGCCCATAAGTCACTTCATATTTTAATACACCTATTCTATACCCTTCTCATGTAACAGATTAACCTGTATTCAAGATCATCTGGCTCCAAAAACTTGCCCTGATCTTATCTCTTTGAAGGAGCATCCTTAGCCAGTGTGCAGGCTTACTACTGCTATCCACACTTTCTCTATGGGAGGAAGACCAAGGTTAAGCACACATAACCTGTGCTCGTGCAGGCAAGCACCATGTTCAGAAAATGGCCAAGTATATTTATTTTGGCAAAAACAATGAAAAAAAAAAGAAAAGAAAACAAGAGAAAAAACATCCCATTCACTACTTTTTACCATTTGATGTAATTATTGGCTTCACTTAAAACGGGATTTTAAAAATCTTCAACTTAAACAAAACCCGTGATAGTGTGCAACCCAGCACCTTGTGAGGTGGCTATAGAGATTGAATTCACCAACACACAGTAACTTGATCAAAATTATCTAATGCTGCTTCCTCCTTTCAAACCTTATACATAATTTCAGAAAAAGAAACATGATGATGGTTACTTAGTATCATCCATTTATCATGATCATCAAATAGTAAACTTAATGATGACATTATTACTTTGATTTCATTCTACTGGTGACAGGTATGATTGTATCATTATCATCATTATTATCAAGCACCAGAATGTAAACAGACAAATTCTACCACATAAGTACTAGTAAATAAATACAATCCCATCACTCTAACTCAAGGTTTAATAATATTATGAATAAACAATTTACAAAGCATAAAATGACCTACATTATTTATAACAAAGATCTTTTTTCTTCACTCTCTTTTTCTATCATATGTTTCACAATTTAGAAACAGCATAAAAGGTATTTTTAAATATCTATTATTAATCTAATTCATCAGCTTAGCCCAATAAGCACATAAAAAACCTGTTCTCCCTCTTTGACAAAAACAAAAAATATGAATAAGGATGCTGCTGAAAATGGTGTGACTGTTAAATACCACAAAATTTATTGACAGGCATTTGATGTGTATACATACACAGAACTGGTATCCCAGTCTATTTATAATAATAAATTTATTACTAGTAACTGGAAGAGAGAAAACATCTACTACCAAGTTAACTCCTATTTAGTACAACCTAGGTTTCAGATCCTAGGCTCAACACACACACACACACACACACACACACAAGCACACACAAACTCACTCACAACAAGGCCATATTTCCCCAACCAGCACACTGGCCAATCAATAACAAAGTTGAGAACACATAATGGGCTCTGCTTGGCCAGAGAATGCTCAAATGGTATTGATTTTTTTCCAGGGAGTCAGTGTGCTTACTGAGAAACATGCCTGTCATATGTAGTGCTATACTCTCCCCTTAGGATAACACCTGCTTTACATTCCCATGCCATGATCAACTGGACATACTTCCTGCCCCACGACCATGATATACAGCCATAGATCTACATGAGTATGTACCTATGCCCAATAACTGCTAGCCAAGAAGGATATGCCTGTTTCTGGGATGCTAGCATGTAAATACAGCAAATTATCACATTTTAAAAGCATGATGGAAAAATAGTTGTTTGGCATGATGTCCCCAGTGGAACTAAAACGACTTAAGAGAAAGAGAAAAGGAGACTAAACTGATCTAGAAAACTATCTTCATATCTTATCTGGATTATGGCCAAGAACCGCTATTTCATATGGTCAAATTCCTACCACAAGAGAACAGCATTTAAAATGCAACCCTTGGTCAATAAAGCTGTCATTTTTGTTTGATGTTGGCATGTTTTAAGTATTGATGAATATGACGCAGAAGTTGGACTTTTGCATGTCTAATTGCATATGCATGTTCATAATAACTTTCATATCCCAGTATATAAATGTCAGAATAATAATGTACTAGTATGCAGATATACAAATTTAGTATTTTAACAATTAAAATTTTTTGTGTAAAAAATTGTCAACAGTAATGGCACCACTGTAAACGCTTTTTGTTTGAAATCTGTGAATAATGTCTGATTTTTCCTAGAGCAATCATACACACCTGCTATCTGATACAAAGTCAACAAAACTACAATACCATTATCAATATCACTGATAACGTAAATGAGTAAATAATTGATTACAAGAAGACCATTCACTGACAGGTATACAACCTGGCAGCTTGGCAATCAGTGTGCCAGACAATGCATCAGGCCATAGCACAAATAATTAATGTTTAAGGCTGAATCAAAATAAAGATATGATATACTTCCAAGTCGGCAGAATAGCACATATAAAGTACTGGAAATTCATAATTACAGATGATTGCTAATTAAGAAATCAGTTTCATGCAATGGTTTCACCTCATTACTGATCTATAACAACTGTTACACAAGCTGCAAATACATGTGCCAGGGTCTCAGTCTGATCTCAACAGTGCCCCCTCTCCCCCCCCCCCCCTCCCACCTCACACACACCCCTTTCCTCGTATCACTACACCATTTCACTAGACCAAGTGCCAGAGTGCCAGTCTGGACATGGATATGTGTGTGGTATATACATATACACTAGTATATATTGCTGTGATATCATATATCAGACATATCAGAAATTGCTTTATTATCTTGGTTGCCTTTGTATGACAATAACAATACCGAGTGATATTGAACACCGGGTTATTTCATTCATTCAATCTCCACAGGATTTTATGCTTATAGTAAATAATGCCTGCCTCTCCTTATATACAGCAGAGTAACAGAAAACATCCAAAAATTAAATCATTTACAGGCGCACGTTCTGGGATGCTCGGAGTAAACTGATAACTGAATGAATGAATGACTAATGAACTACAGCCCAGACAGCAGTCGGCTTCACCAAAACACTGCCGTTCTCAGAGCCGCTCTTTGTTGATTTCACCCACCTGGCTTAAAATAGCGTGCATACTCCCCCTCAGATGAGGCACCACCTCCGCCTTCGGCTCCACTCATCTCGAAATATCCTTTCTTAATTCCTAAGTTATAGAATTTTATCCGAATTTGACAAGTTGATGCGCTCAGGCTTGGCGGCCATTTTAATCAACTCGGGTACATCCGTTCAGTTTCGTCTGTTTCCGATTGTCTTGTGCCCGTGTGAGTGTCAGTGGAAAGCAAGCTGCAGCTGCGTTGCGGGAGATGTTCCAAGGTCTGAGAAGGCAGTGAATGTGAAAATCTTTTTAGGTGCACTTGGAAAAGTCACACAATTCTAATGGTGTAAAGTCGAATTTGGCAGTTTGGGGGCTAAACGTCTGACAATATAAATTTTTTATAAGCATTCCGACGCCTTCCGACGGTGTTTTCTGATGATTTAATAATCGTCTTTTACTTAGGCCTATCAAGTGAGTGCCGCTTTCAGTTTTATTTAATCAGTTGATGGGAAGAGTAATCACGATATATAGATGTTGCTCATAAGTAGCCATCCCATATCCCTGAGTTTCGTAGTAGGCTACTGTCAAGAGTGGGCTAACTCAACCTCAGGGACCCCGCCCCCATCTATGCCACTGCCTTGATCTTGATTATTGATAATAGTAACAACATTTAAAATATCTGACTTGGTACATGACTGTATATAAGTATCGATCTAAATAATTCTTAAGCCGTAGGCCTATGTGAAAAAAATAGAATCACAAACCCCCAGGGTCTAGCCCTGCACCCCAAAGGATCCTAGGGTGTTATCACTAGTGTTGATGCTTCACTTAAAAAACATACGTGGTGATTATTGTTACATGAAAGATTGACCAATGATAAATTCACGAAAAATAATGAAACTTCATGGAAAAGAATCAAATCACCAACCACCCCAGGGAACACAGCCCCATGGATACTTATGCTTACTTGGACTCATGGACGGACGCACAGACAGCAAGGCGCGATGACTTTTGTTACAAAGTACGGGGTTGAAATAAACAATTGCTTTAAATTAATAAAGTTAAATATTGCCAGACTTTCCCCAAATATATCTTTCCCAGTTGTATATGTTGCAGGCCAGATTGAAATCCAGGCTGGTGTAAAATCGACCATAGTCAAATTTTATTTTCAAATGCTATGTTTGTTTTCGCAAATTCTTCCTGAAATGTAATAACTAGATTATATAGGATACACGCCATCTTTTGTACTCATGGCCACTATAATGAAGTGGGCACCTGAAAGACAACATCATAAGAAGTGAATGGGAAAAAGCAGGACTCTCGCCTGGGTATGAGGTTAAAAACATATATATATATGTCATAAACAATTAAATAGTCAGGATTACATTTGTCACCGGATTTAAATCTTCCTAAGTCAAATTGGAATTTTGATCCTGAATAAGCCTAATTAAAATCTGAAAATAAAATTTGACTATGGTCGATTTTACACCAGCCTGGATTTCAATCTGGCCTGCAACATATGTCTACATAGGAATGGTCACAATCACACGATTCAGGATGAGACGTCCTTGGCGAGGGCATCTCTTCTTCTCCAGCACATTCTCGGACTTGATTTTGAATTTCTCAGCAAGATAATGCATTAAATGCGATAGAGAAGAAAAAGGCGTCGTTCTCTCATTGTCTCTTTTATGTTCTAGTTGATACAATATCAGTAACATCACAATTAATTTTCAATTCAAACACTCAGATAAATGGGGAAAAGAACTTTAGTTTCTTTACACTCTGGAAAATGATAGCGAAAAAAGGAAAGGTTATTTCGAAAAATGCACATTCCATCACATCCCCAAGCTTACATAGCCTAGTTAAGAAAGGTAGAATAGAATGGTCTCTTTATCTTACTTGCATTAATGAATCATGCTTAGGGCTCTATTTAATCTTTAACATGAACAGAAAAACAAAAAGGTGGAATACCACTTGTAAGAAAATGTGAGCGAATGAAATAAGAAAATATTCAGAAAAACCTGAAAAATGTCATACAAGTTTTATATGAGTTAAAGCATGTTGCGCAAAAGGTGTTGTGAGGTAACATCGTTTAATTTTATAAACACACTCTTCAAATTAACCTAACTCGAAATGTAGAATAGTTTTGCATTAGAAAGGGCCTACATGGAAGCACCGTCCTCAAAGTACATCGCTTCGAATGTTGTCAACAGCCGTTAAACTTTTTTCGTTACATTTAAGAAAATTAAGAAACTGAGAAGTTTTAAATGTATTTCGATGAAAACACCATGGTCAATATCCCGGTGCACAATCCCAGAATCGTTGAAAATTTCTTTTCGGGGCCGCTGCTGGAATGACATTTTTGCTTTATTTCAGCGAGCGCCATCTTGTTACAGTATTTCCCAATACAGCAACATTCGCAGGACTCTTTGTTATTTATACATCCGAGGCTTTTCTCGCTACACAAACCCTTGCTTGAAGTGTTGAATTTTGTGTCACATCCTCTGCTTAGATGTATACCTTTATATTGAATCTATATAAAAAAGAAAAGAAATCGGTGACGTTCGTATGAAATAGTTTTTTATCTTTTATACGAGTAAAAGAAGTTTATTCAAATTATAGCAAGCAAAATTTTGAAATTGCACAAATATCGGTACCAATAATCTTTCATCCCCGCAATTTAAAGTTACTGATGAAAAAAAGTTGGCACAATATAATGAAAAATTGACAACCAATGGAAATGAAAAGTTAAAAGAAAAGTTTCATACCCAACAAATATTTTGTCCGGCCTTTGACAATGTCGTACACTGAGCATTGACACCGCTGTTTTGTTCCGCTTCGCAGGTCTGATCTTTATTACACTCAAAGCATCCTGCCCTGTCACTCGTATCTATAATATAGAGCTATATGTACAAACAAAATTAATCGTTTAGATAAAGTTTGATCCGACCTGTCATGGACAGACGTGCCATTACTTCATCAATACGTAATAAACGATGTTCAATAAGTGGAATAAACATTATCGGGATCGGACAGTATTGGAAAATTCCATCCGTTATACAAGCTGTTCTACGCTGTTCTAGCTCCAATTTAAAGCAAACAGGTCATTGCTGTGACTTAAAGTTGACAGCAATCAAAGTTACTTTGAACACAAATCTAGTTTATTGTTATGAAGATAGCGTTACCATGCAAACAATGAAGCATCAAATAGAAAAAAAATAGCTTCAGCAATCTACCTGTAGTAAATGAAGCGGGAGGCCGTTTACTATTGGTGCTTGAGACTTCTGGAAAATGAGTACTCGTGGACGTGACACCATTGGAAGGGACGTTTGTTGTCGGGGCATCTGTTATCAAAGCACCTAAATGGAGATCATGGGTAAAAAAAGAAGTATTGGACAAAGCAGATGCATGGCACCAGAAGCGAGGAGTTATCCTATATTATATATTATAGCCAGGGAGACGACAGTCTTATTCCGATATGGAGAAGGGATTACGATCAGCTGTCTGTCGTCGTTCTTGCAGCAACCCACGGAGAAATATGATAAATGTCACGTTCATTATTTTTCGAAATAATAATCCAAAAGCTAAAATACGCGTACGAAAGTTAAAATCGTTCAATGTCTTAAATGATATTCATATTTTCTCTATCTCGTGTAGTATCACATTGAATTACTGACGAAATAAATTGACAAAGGCAATATATAGGATATTTGGTCAATTATATAAAGGCCGCTTTTATTTATATCAAACTCAAATGAGATTTGTTACGATTTTTACTCTTATACATTGGCCGAGATTACACTGCATTGGAAATCCCATGTGTAATTTAAGCTGTTCTAAGCTGTACTGCCTAAAATTTAAAGCGAACTTGTCACTGCTGTGACCTAAAGTTTACAGTAATCAAAATTACTCTGAACACAAATCTAGTTTATCGTTATGAAGATAGCGTTACTATGCAAATAATAAAGCAACAAATAGAAAAAAAAAGCTTCAGCAATCTACCTGTAGTAAATGAAGCGGGAGGCTGTTTACTATTGGTGCTAGAGACGTCTGGAAAATGAGCACTCGTGGACGTGACACCATTGGAAGGGACATTTGTTGTCGAGGCATCTGTTATCAAAACACCTGAATGGAGATCATGGGTATAAAAAGAACTATTGGACAAAGCAGATGCATGGCACCACAGGCGAGGAGTTATCTCATATTATACATTATAACCAGGGAGACGACAGTCTTATTCCGATATGGAGAAGGGATTACGGTCAGCTATCTGACGCCGATCTAGCAAAAGCCGCACGGAGAAATAAATGTGATAAATGTGACGTTTATTACTTTTCGAAATAGTAATATTAATCCAAAAGTTAAAATCCGAAAGTCAAAATCGTACAAAAATGTTTAAAATGATATTTTTTTCAATCTCGTGTAGTATCACAATAAATCATTGACGAAATAAATTGACAAACGCAATATATAGGATATTTGATCAATTAAGGCTGCTTTTATTTATATCATACTCAAATGAGATTTGTTACGATTTTTACTCTTATACATTGGCCGAGATTACACTACATTGGAAATTCCATGTGTAATTTAAGCTGTTCTAAGCTGTACTGCCTAAAATTTAAAACGAACTTGTCACTGCTGTGACCAAGAGTTTAAAGTAATCAAAGTTAGTTTGAACATAAATCTAGTTTATCGCTATGAAGATAGTACTGTGCAAACAAGTAAGCATTCTAAAAAAGAAAAAGCTCAAGCAATCTACCTGTAGTAAAGGTAGCGGAGGTCCGTTTACTATTGGTGCTAGTGAAGTCAGGAAATTGAGCACTCGTGGACGAGGCACCATTGGAGGGGCGATAAGTTGAGGGGGCAGAGGAGGGGCCGATGGAAGGGGGGTTTGTTGTTGTCGGGGCATCTGTTGTCAAAGCACCTAAAATGGAGATCATATATAAGAAAGGCACTATTGGATAAATTATAGCAAGCATGTATGGCACCACAAAAGAGCAGTTATCTCACATTATACATGATCACATGTACAGTCAGGGAGAGGACAGGCTATAAATACCGACATGGGGAAGGGATTACTGTTAGCTATCTGAGGCTGACCAAGCAAAATTCCAAAGGAGAAATATGATAGATTAAAAAATGATGTTCATTTTTATTTTTTATTAATAATAATAATAATAATAATAATGATAATGATTCATTGAAATTGAAATTGAAATCCAAAAAAAATTGAAGTCGTACAAAATGTAAAGATGTTATTTGTACTTGAATTGAAATGGTTACTAGAGTTAGGTAAGAGCTTTAATGTTGAAAAGATCTTTAATATTTCTAGTACACTTTTTTAAAAAAGTATCCTAGAAATTAAGAGGACAATGATTTACAAAAAATCTTTAAACGTTCAGACTAGACTTTTGGTACTATAAATTTGCCTTAAAGGCCGTAAACTTCGTTTAAGCAATAAATGCGTCAACTTACCATACTTCTAAATTTTGATATAAAACCTCTTGTAAAGTGTTCCCTTCTTTACTATAAAGTATCAAGATTACAAACCTGTAGGGCATCATCATAACTAAAACCAGTTTGAATGATCTGAAGAACTGTTTTTGGACAGACTCAATACATTCAGACTGTTCTGAAATCAGCTCTGCAGGGTTCCCAAACATGCATAAGTTAAGAAGACCAATCCTGTAGTAATCATGGATTGGTAAATGCTTATTAAACTAGTATGTCAAGCTTCGTTCGCTTAGGTTGTCTAAGATAAAAAAAAATCAATATTCCTTACCATACATGGAATGCACGTGCTTACTAAAAGTCTACACCTTCCATATATCTTAGAACCCTTCATACGTGTAGAAAGGGTCCAGGGTCTATCATGGTACAGCAGCTTATATTTATCTTATCCTACAGAAGATAAATGCACGGAGCGAAGATCGTGTGATTACTTAAATACGCGTATCTGCCTCCCTCTAAGAGTAAACGATGTTTTGGCATTCAGGATCTTTGCAATCTGCCTATGAAGTCTACATATACTCTAACAAAAAGTTTAAATAATAAAGGCGTATATTGCATAGATTTTAAACTATGCACATAAAAACACGTTACTCGTTTGGAAAGTATTTTAGAAAACTAAAATATGAAGCATAAAATGAGCAATACGAATTAAGCACAAAGCCATATATTGCCTAATATTTAAACTATGCTAATAAATAAACATGCAACTAGATCGGACGTATTTTAAAAAAATGAAATATGAAATATTAGATAAGCAATATGGATTTCAATTTTGTCTTAAAAGAGCAAAGCCATGTACAATATTGCCTAAAATTAAAACTAAACATAAAATAAACATGTCACTTTTTTGTGTGTATTTTGTGAAATATTAAATAAGCAACATGAAACAGTGATATCACAACAGGGACACGTTTCTATAAAACAAAACACTCCTTTTCTCAAGCAAGACTATGTCCGTCCGTGTGTGTGTGTGTGTGTGTGTGTGTGTTGATTTACGTATATTCTAATTATTGTATTTTTAAATAATAATTAATTTTTTTAAAAAATTATCATTATTTACTTTTCATTTTTAACCTATGTTTATGAAACAAGAACGTATGATCTATACCACATAATTAAGTAAAACGTTTTGTCTGCTGTCTTGTCACTTTAGTCTTGTCACAAAAAAAAGCATTACCTGTGGTCAGCATATTTGCTGTGTACGTCAAGCTAAAACCGTTTGCTGTTGCAGAGCCATCACTCACAAATCGAAGGAAGAGAGAATCATCCTCAACCGTGAAATCCTCCCTTGTAATGTTGAAATCACACACCTTTTTTAGTTCAGTTCCATTACTTAGAGTTACATTAAGGTAGTCATAGTCGCAAGCATCGCTTTCAAATTCAACTATAGAACCCCACACGATGAAATACTTGAAGCACCTAAAATAAGCATTGGGTTTAACATTAATAATTTTATAAAAACCATACAACAAAATTGATAATATACTAACACGAAGGGCAAATATAAATTAAGTCCCTTAAGTCCTATAAATGAATAAATATGTGAAAACAGCCATCGATGAGAAAAAGTGTGGAGTTACCTGGTACAGTGATATTGTAGAAGCAGGTGATGTCCGTGGGGTACTGGCCGGGGTAGTTAGGAGACTGGACGGTGCCAGATACACTGGTAAATGAGATGGGACCACACGCTGAAAATGTATATCCTTAATAATAAGGAAATTTATCTTCGCAATTATATACGTGTGTGTGTGTGTCTTTTGTTTCTGATATGTAAAGATCGGTGACTTGTAGGCCCATGAGGCCGGGTGATTTGTATATCTATATCACATGTCACATTAATAAAAAAAATACTACAGTACTACACATCATTGATCTTAAGTCTAAACTGATTTCAACACAGACTGATATTAGACATGATCTCTGTGATACGTGTAGGTGAAATGAATAAATAACGATTAAAAATATTATGGCCGGTATATTTCAGACGGCCTAGAGAATATACAAGTAACGGTATCTAATATTTGAATAGCAATGAGCATATAATCCTTCCCTCTTCCTCATTCAAAAATGTGGATTCTGAAACTTGATGGTCCAGTTTTCGAGATAACTTTAGATTTCGTTTTTCACTGATGAAAATAGTGATTTTATCAGTTTTTAGAATACCCTTTTTCCCGTAGCGTGTACCCCAGTTAATCAAGTTATAACGGAATCGTATTTTGAGATAAATTTACGTGAATATCGACTTTCTTATGACAGCAACGTTCTTTTTTTATTTTAAACTTCCGCCTACCATTTTTGTTCAGACAATGCAAAATCACTGGATATATCAACTTACCAGTAATGTTTGTGCTTTGCGAAGACACAAACGGTAAGAAAAAAGTCCCCAAAAGAAGACAGTAGATTCCAGGTAGCATCTTTCTATTTTTTGTTGACGACATTAATTCCTTCTCACGTCTCGTTCTCACTATCATTTTGTCTCTATTTAGGGCAATGTGTTGTTTAAATGGATCTCACTTGAACGTTGTTCGCCTTATCTTGTTTACACTACTATAGTACCCACTGTCCTTACTTTTCACGATAGGCGATGACATGACACGTAACGAGACTTTAAAGCCTGTAGATATCATCCTGGGCACTGTCTGAGCGACACAATTTGCCAATTTAGAGGCCCGTTTCCGAACTTGGTTGAATTTGCTCTGTCTTTATTTAATGCGCGAAGATAGTGTATGCTAAAGAGAACTGCAAAGAGGGTTTTCGTAAACAGGGGGGATTTTCCCAACTCAAGTTGGTGATTTATTTGTTTGAATCACGCTTCCGAATAACAGAGATGCCTAGACCTATCCCCTCTTGCGTACAGAGATCCTGAGTAAATATGATAAGGTGACTTTTTAAACGAAATGAGTTGTTTAGAACAAACAACGCATTAATTCTTCGCAAAAGCTACACTTTTGTCGAGGAGGAAATTGTACTTCAAAGTGGAACATTACATTAAGCTGTGTCAAACGAAGACCCGGATGGCGGTAATAAGAGAATATTTCACAGAAAAAAAAAACGGAAGCATGTTAGACTGTTATCAAATTCTGATATGTGGATTTTTATTTATTTTTTTTCATTTTCCCCACCCTACCATAAAAATGTAATAAAAACAGAAGCTTCAGAACTTAAATAAGCTGTGGCCCATTTGCAAAGAGTCTGAAGAAAGAAGAAGATTAAACCTTATACTTAGTGTTACCAAGGAGTTCGCCTTGGTGTCACTGCTTCTATTCAAATTTGATATTTATATTTCTGTCACTTTGCGGCCTTGTTTCTCTTTCTTGGCAGTCAGCGACGATATGAATTCAAGGCATTCCATCGGTCTTTTCCTTATCCAGTTCTCTGTCATTACTTCAATATATCATTTAAGAACGTGCTTGTTTCAACTTTACACATGATAACGGTACGAAATAAATTACAACTAAGATAAAGGTCTTAAGGGGTCAAAATCGGGTCAGGTTTGTAGAAGTAGAAAACGCGTCAATAAACAAATAGCAAATTAAACAGAGAACTGAAACGTAAACATGAAACAGTCTGGCAACTAAAAAGCATAGAACACTGATAATGTTTCCTTGCATCTCACCATTGTTAAGAGACTCATTAGAAATAAATTCTCCTTAATTTCTTCCCAATTTTACTTAAACTTTGGTATTCGTTGCTCCATCTCTCACTCGACAGACCTTACGTTTATCGACAAATGTAATAACGTAACCACACAAGTAAAGAATTCTTCATTGTAGCATAACTCATGTATCATTTACATTACCAACGTGCATCGTTGTAATTTGATGGCATATGACATAGTTATTAAGAGATATGTCCCTTTCAAATTCAATCTTCAGTAAAAAAAAAAATTCTCTTCAGTGATACAAATGTCATTAATTGCAGGTAATTGTGGGTAATTTGGAAATTTTCCTTAAGGAAGGATATACTCAATTCGAGAGGACCTGTGTTTGTCAAAATCTATTAATTTGATTTGATATTTTCAATTGTGTTCTGAAAACAAACACTAATTGAAAAAAAAAAACCTCGTAGAATACATGAAGTCTAAATAGCAAAAAACAGATATAACTGGTTTCTTGCAATTATAATTTTTAGAATCAGCACTTCAAAATGGCAATGACTATATTACATTATATATACACTCTTTCTATTTGCAATGAATTACACAAAATCCTGTAAAATTTCCACTTACTAGTATATCAGAAATGCCAATAAACATAGTGATAGCTTATCACACAATGGTATACACGAAACTGCAATAATCTAATTAGCATTAGAGAGCATAATGTAGAAGACATCCACATTGCTAAGAACTATGTATGTTTATAATGGTCAAACGACCAATGTTTTGTGCATACTATTTTCTTTCGAAAACCTTTAAAACCAGTTTTAAAGTTTTGAAATGTTTCTCAGTCATCAAAGAATCAAGCATTGTTGATACATGCATTAAGAAATGCCACCATCAGTAGCCAGATGAACATTTTTGAAACTGAGAACACGTTCAAGTCTCCGCCATTGCTGTAATTCGCGGTGTACTGGAAACTAAATCCTTTTCCAGCTGCACCTGAACGATCAGTAACAAACCTAAAGAACAAGGAGTCGCCCTCGACAGTAAAATCCTCCTGTGTGCGGTTGGCACCGCATAACTCTTCCATTTGCGTCCCGTTACTTAAAGTTATGTAAAGGAAATCTCCGCCCAAAGTAGCGTTGCAAGCTTCCTTTTCCAAATCTACTGCTGAGTTCCAGTGGACAGAAATACTGGATGCACCTAACATAAAATTGATAATGTAAAATACATTTATAATAGTACGATTGTGTTCTTTGATGCACACCCACGTCTTCAACATATGTTATCTTTACAATTTTTAAGTTCACTGATCTAACGTCTTAATACAGAATGTTTCAGGTTTGTAGTCAGAGTTCCTCAACACAGATGCGACAATATAAAAAATGATAGAAAAAAAAATGAATTGGAGTGCTTGGTTAACAAAGTTATCTTATAATCATTTAACTTCATCCATGAGAATCACTGAGAATAAAATGGAGTACGAGTTAAATTTACAAGTAGAAAAAAGTCAACTTTACCCCAAACAGTAATATTGTAATAACAATCAGTGTCCCTTTTGTATGGTTGAGGATATCCAGGGGAACTGATGGTGCCCTCTTTATTGGTAAATGTAGAGGGGCCACAATCTGAAAAAAATAATAAATCAGCTCCTATTAAGTTAGCATTGACTATGGGCACGCCGATTATTGTACAATTTGTAACAATAAAGAATAAAATATATATGATAAATTAAAGAGAAAGAAAGAGAGGGGCAACTACTAGAAATATGTTCAAAACTACATGGTAAGTTTTAAAGTCCGTAAAATCCACTTTATAGGTTGAAAGTTAATACTCACCATCATTTTGTGCTGTTCCTAAGGACAGGATAACAGACACAAAAACGGAAAAATACGCAACAGCTCTCATGACTGTCATTCCAATACACGCCAAATAGTCAGAACTGGTAACAGGTGGGTCAAACTGAAGTTAAGTTACGGCGGAAGAAATCAAGAAGCAACCCTATATCATGCCCCGCAGGTTGATTAGCGTTCCTTGTGTGCTGCAGTTGCTTGGTTACAAATTGCTTCAAAACTTCCTTGTTTCAACGTCATGATAAAGCTTCAATATAATTTCAAACAAAATGCGAAAAAATGGGCGACGTTGATAAGAATATATGAAACTTCAAAGGGGTTGGATTCCTAATAGGACGTTAGTAAAGTTAATTAGCCTCTTCAAGGATTTATGGCAAGCAGGTCATTAAAAAACTTTTCAATTTGAAATTTATGAGCGTTGCCCAATTAGATCGTTAAAAGACAGACAGATGAAATAATCGTGTTATATGTTAGCCTTGATATACATGTAGCCACCAATGAACACGTGTCCTTTTCTAAAGATGACTTTTAAATTTTAATATAAAAGTAATATATTATAAAAAAACGCAATAGATTCAGTTCTGGCCGAACATATTCAAATTTATTAATTTTAATTATTGACTTTGTGAGTTTATTTTTTTAGCTTCCATTAACTTTCATTTCACGCTTTTTTTTTTAAGTTGTATTGACTTATTGTTCTAACCGTATGCAAAGCCAATTGACCAGAGAAAAATAATGGGCATACAAACTTTCTATTTCGGATCAATTACTCTCAATCGATGGCGTTGTGATCAAAACAATGGTGCGCGCATGTAGGCCTTTATACATTGTATCAGATTTAGACTATATCTCATCATGTGGGCCGTTTTTTCTACGAGGTCATTATTCAAAGTGCTAAGAAATGTTTATCAACTCAATCTTCATATAGGCCTATATCAGCCTAATAAGGTCGCGCGCGTTATACGTCACAGGTCTTGCGTAACTACCCACGTGCTACGATTTTTCCCTTGGGGGGCAGCAAGCGGACTTTTTGTACAGGAGCAATGCAAAGATGGGTGAATACGATACGTTGTTTTTAACCGAAGACGATGTTCCCGGGGCGAAACTGCCAACATCAAAAGTAAATGATCATGCCAACTTTGTTTTGGAACGATGTGGTTAGCCTGTCAGTGGCGAGTTGAGGAAAAAAGAGCAGCATTGATAGCAAGGTACTGTGTACACGTGAACCGGCAAAGTTAATGATAATTTCGTGTTGCAAAAGCATAATTAAATTATTTAGTTATTTTCCAAACGATACTATTTGGATAGCAGATACATAGATCTTACTAACAACAATGTAACATTTTGATGACATTGAAAATCAAAAGCTGATGTGCACGATAATTTGAGGAGGACACGGCCACAGCAAGTTATGCATGAAATTTTGCTATATAACAANAATTGGCCTTTGAAATGCAGACGAAAAAATTATTTGCATTGATGGTATTAAAGTCAAAATATAAATTTCTAGAATTTCCATCAGTTTTTACTCATCAACTAGTTATGCCATGAGAAAATTACGATCTTTCAAACTATTTTCAAGATTCATTTTAGTTCTTGTCTAAGCCGCTTGGTGGCAGCACCTCACAGTTACGTATAGCTTCTGCATAGTTGTGTCATTTTATTGCAAACATAAAACTCTTTTAGTTCCTTTATAGCTTAAAACAATTCAAAATGAATCGTAAACGTACAACAGAAATATGTTTGTAGGATAAGGATAGACATTTGATTATAGTCGATGGACTGTCTTGGAGCAATAGGCAGCCATATTGCAAACCTCTGCGTGCTGCATGTTTGCAGGTGCTCGATAATAATGGTTTACCGAGGGAGAGGAAGAGGAAGAGGGAGAGGGTTTCCAAGAGGAGGACCAGGTGGACCAAGGGGTTCTTTTCGAGGCAGAGGTCGCGGTTATCAAGAAAAATCCCCATCCCCGGACAAACGATCTGCCGCTGGCAGCAGAGGAAGCAGTGCGAAGTCTCCGGCAGAATACGAGGACAACTTGAGAAGTGAAAGCAGGGCACGTGCACGTGCTCCTCCGCCAACAGATGAAGGGTTGCGTATCACTGTTACCAATGAACGAATCGATAAAGATGCCGAGTCGCGGGATGGCGGTAGACACGACTCTCGGGAGAGGGAAAGACAGCCCAGAGAGCGAGGTCAAAGAGGTCACCATGAGTCTGACCAATCGAACAGAGGACGCTCCAGGTCCCCGTTAACAGGGCGCAAGACTGTCGAGGAGAGACTCGGACCGTCTGTGGTTTGTTGGTTATTTATGCAGAGCCCTATGTAGAGATAAACTTTTTTTCGTATTTAGAATTTTTAAAATGATTTTTCATTATTTATTTTTTAATTCAAATATTCAAACATTGCCCGTCACTGCTGACACCTTGACTGATTAAAGAATTATAAAAAAAAGACTTCAAAATACCACACAAGTCTATCATAATGTTTTCTTTTTTTTTTTTTTTTTTTTGCCATCAGTGTGTATGTGGAAGGCATCCTGATTTTAGGACATTTACCTTAAAATTACATTGTCAGGACATGATGACCAGGCTGTTCATAACCAATGTCCATTTTCATTGTTGCCCCTTGTATTTTGACATTTTTGTGCGTAATTTCTGATATTTTCTTACTGTGAATTGAAGACTGAAAAATATAGATCTGGTTTCTTAAGGTAAGTATTAATTATAAAATGATTAAATTTAGATAATTTTTGCTCTTAAGTTGCATGAACAGTGTTGATTAAGTGATTAGAATATGATGAAGGTGATGTGTCTTACTACTTACTGTACTCTGTACAGGCCTGTAGTCAGCAATTGCAAAGGGGGTGGTTCTTTTTCTGAAAAATTGGACCTTTTACCATGAAACCTATATACATCTAGATCAAATTTTACCCAGAGCATACCTTTTCTCGACAAAAAGTGTGGTTCATTCAAACCCCTACTCTAGCAGCCCTAGTATGTATCTGTATATTCACTGATATTGCTAGTGTATTCTTAAACAAAAGAGGTATTATGTAGGACAGTCTGCGTTTGTGTTTTTGCTTACCTCTGATCCATTGATATACACAGCTAAAAAGCCAATTATCATGGCTGCCGATGTTTGAGTACTTTCTCAACTGCAATCCTCAGTTGACTTAATGAAGCCCTTGCATCAATTGCATAACTCATATTGACTGTAATGGCTTCCTCTCTGACTCTAGCAAGTTCAGTTAATGTAAAAAAGTAAACAGGTCTGTTAGAGAGAGAAACCATGACAAACGGTGACCTTTTGGGCTGCTTGTGTTATTCTTCTTTATATGGGGTGGGATATATGTGGATTTTTATCTTAAAATAATTCGGTGCACACAGTTTTAATATTCCATCTATTCATTTTCCACAGAACAGTCCAGTGGCACTTCCAGTCGGAGGAGAATCTATACGCATCACAGTTGGCAATGAAAAATACATGGAGAGAGCTAAAGAGGATGCTGTGAGCCGGTTAGGCCCTCCTGTAGATAGATCACCTAGGGGACCAGACCCAAGGTCAAGCAGAGATCTGTATGAAGTGAAAGAAAGTGAATACAGATCAAGTTCTAGAGGAAGGGATAAAGAGTATGACAGAGAGCGCCCTAGCGAGAAGTATGGGGAGAGAGACAGAGAACATTCCAAAGATAGAGACTTCAGGGTACGTGGACATTCAAGAGATAAAGAAGACAGGTACTTGGATGATCGTGACATGCATTTGCGCAGGGGCTACTATGATCGCGATGAACGGCATAGGAAACAGTCTCCAGCAAGAGAAACAGATGATCGTGATAGAAGGGACAAAGATTATAGAGACCCTACTCAAAGGTATGCGTTGCAGTCTGGCCCTCAACCCACTAGTATGTCAAGATCCTCTCTGCCAGACATGGGAGCCTCGGACTATGGTGTCAGGAATCCAGAATACCAACGCCAGTTACCAGATGATCGTTATTCAGCAGCAGGGCCCTCTCCAAGTGCAAGGGTGTTACCGCCTGGTATGAGGATAAAAAGTCGCAGTTCATCTTCTTCTAATTTACCTGGCAGTGCTATGAGTGCACCTGAACCCAAACCTCTTAAGTCGTGTCTGAAAAAGAAAGCGCCAGAACAGCCACCACCAGTAGTGAGTTCTGAGGGAATAACCCATGTGGTAGATTATGGACACGGACGCGCTGGTGATGTTGATATGAGAGGCTTTGGTAGTGGTTCACAAAAAGAGCAAGGGCCACTGGCTGCCTTAGAAACTGTGGAAGATGAAGAAAAATTCCTCTATGGTGATGACATAGAAGAACCCACTCCTCCCAAGAAGCCAGAGATCCCCCCAGGGATCACTCATGCTAAAACATACCCACACACGGAACCTCCTTACCAGAGTAATGTAGGTGCGTCATACAAGGAAAGAGATTACTCAGGTAATCCTTATCAAGGTATGGCAGCAAGCACAGGGTTTACCCAGGGTTCCACCAATCCTTTATATACAGGAAATGATCGTTCACCATTTTCTGCTGGTGACCCAAGTACATTTTCAGGCAGGGATCATGCACATGCACCTCATTCTGCTCCTGATCCCACACCTTCAGTGCACCCCAAAGAGGAAAACCCACCTCAAGACAACACTATTGAAAACATCCTGAAGAGCATAGGGTTTGATTTTGAGCTCTCTAAAAGAATGCAGGAACTTGCCCGTAAAAGGGAAGAAGGCTCAAAGAAGCCAGAAAAGAAACCACCAGAAAGATCATTTGGCATCAAGGAATCTGCTTCTTTCTTGGGTGGCGGTCTTGATAGTGTAGATTTAGGTTCAGCTCTTGAAAGGAAGAAAGAACCAACAAACCTGACTTCAGTTGGATATCCAGATCCAATCAGAAAGGATGACTCAGCAAAATATGCAGGAGGTAGATATACAGATCAACTTGACAGAAAAGAAGAACATGGAAAATATGCAAGCAGTGGATATTCAGATCCAAATATACAGCAGCCAAGGAACACCTATGGGGAACCTGAGTCTAGATATCCAAATTATGGTGAGGGATATCTGAAAGATGATGACCGTGAGCCCAGAGACAGAGACCTGAGGAGATCTCTGGAAGACCGGAATCTTCATGAAAGAAGTCGCAGCTACAGTCCAAGTCCTGCACCTGCCATGGAAAGTTTTGGGGAACTGTATGGGAGTAGAAAACCTAACTATAGAAGAGAAAGCTCTGATGATCGCAGCTCCAGGTCAAGCAGTAGTAGCAGCAGCAGAGAAAGAAGTCTGTCAAGAGATAGGGATTCACCGAAAAACAGAAGATCATCAAGAGACAGGAGCCCTCCCAGGAATAGAGAGGGAATAGAACGACAAAGAAGTGACAGCAGCTCAGGTGTGGCAGTGCCTCCAAAAGAAACGAATACTGCCTATGTTCCTGGCTATCAATATGCAGCACCCCCACCCCCTGGATATGGTGCTGCTCCTCCTGTGTATCCTGCTATGGGAGGACCAGTGCCATTTGGACCACCCCCTGGGTTTAGTGGACCCCCTCCACCCCCACCACACTTGCAAGGGCCTGGGTTTGGCTATGTTCATAACCCTCCCTGGTTTGCCGGCGGTGCTGTTGGTGGGCCGCCTCCACCAAGGTTTCCTAATGAATCGGAGCCTTGGGTGAGAGAGAGGGAGAGGGAGAGGCAAAAGCAAAAAAAACGAGAAGATGAAGAATGGCTTCAAGCTGTGGAGGAGTTTACTAGGCAGACAAGCAAGCCACGAACTGTAATCCCACCAAAAGATGAGAAAAAGAAGAGACGTGATGAAAGGAGTAGAAGCAAAGATGAAACAAGCAAAGACCAAAAAGGCAAAGAAAAGGGAAAGAAGGATGAAAAACAGGAAGAGAAACAGAAAGTAAAAGAAAAACCCAGTGTGAAAAAAACTAAAAAGTCTCTCTCCCCTGAAGAAAGAGAAAAGTTGATAAAGGAAAAGGAAGAAAGACAGAAAAGACTAAAGCTGCTAGAAAGTGAACTGGAACGCTTGCGTAAGCAACAAAATGAATTAATGCGCAAGAAGCAACGCCAAAGAGATGGTCACAAGGATCCTATTTTGGTTGAAAATACCAAATTACAAGAAGAAATTGCTACCCAGATTTCACATCTACGGCGTTCTGTTGAAGAGAACAGTGAAGTTTTAAATTCTGAAGGTGATAAACAAGAAACGGAGGAAAAACGAGAGGTGAAGATTATAAAGGTTGAAAAGCAGGACAAATCAGAAGAAAGAATTGTGAAGACAATAGAAATAAAGCCCAAAAAGGTATGGCTCTTTATGAATATATGAAACTGATCTTTTCCCATTTTTTTCTTGGCTTGATTTTTTTTCTTATGAGTTCCTTTCATGATCCTCGCAATGTTTCCATGCTAAGAATTTGGCTTGTTGAGTAATTGTATATCTTAAGTGAAACGATGATCACAATAAAAAAGATAAGCAGTAAAGATTATTTTGTACTAAGAAATTTATTGTAAGTCACATTTTTTCTTGTGTAAACTTGGAATTTAAAGGATTTGTTTTCAGTGTTTATTATTATTATTATTATTATTATTTTTTATTATTATTATTATTATTATATTGTAAATATTAATCAACAAAACTATTTATAGGAGAAAAAGAAAAATGAAATCGAGGAGAAAGCATCGAATGTTTTCTACGAGTATTTTGACCCTGGCAATCATTGGTGTCGCTTATGTAATCACGTATCGCAAGATGTGTCTGAGGTGTTTAACCATTTAAAATCAAAGAAGCACCAGCAGGTAGTATTTTCACAAACATATGAATACTTATTTGTGTAAAGTGATTATTTTTATCAAACAGAGTAAAATTGAACAGTACCTGCAGAAAAAAACAAATTTTACCATTTAATTTATTTAAATTTCTTTTAACATTTTTTTGCTTTGCTAGAACCAAGCTGCATTAATTTTACTTTACTTATAATCAAAAGAAAGGTCACATGCTGTTTCCGTGTAAAATATCAATTTGTTTTTTGTACTTTGTTAAAGAGCATGGATCAGAATGACGGACCATGGATGTCAGAATCTGTTCTCAACCCTCCTGTGAGACCAAAAAGTGCAAAAGTAGAAACAGTCCCCATGAAAGGTATAACAGTTTGGAATTGAAGAAGTCAATAAAGACTTTTTATTTTTTTTTTTTAGTTGAAATTTAGATTGCCAAAAAAAATCTGACACATGTTCTCATCCTTGTATCCTCTTGGGTGTTTCTTGTTATTTTCTAAAATCACTAAATCTTAGAAACAATTAAATGAAAATGTCATCTTTTTTTTTTTTTTTCAAAAGACTGCTGTTTGATTTTCATTCGAAAGTATATTTGTGTATGTTTGATCTAGGTATAGAGTTTCTCATGCCTGTGGATGCATACTATTGTACCTTGTGTAAAGAATTTGCTGGTGATGCAACTTGTACTTTTGAGGATCATCTGAAGTCAAACAAACACAGTGACAAGTACAAGGTAATTCAGTCCTTATAGTTATTATTATTAATAATAGTAAAAGTATTTATTTAAAGTGGTAAATATTTGTTTAATAGACTTTACAATATGATTGGAGAATATAAAATACAAGTAAAGGAAAGGATAAAATTGATTAAAACAAATTGATTTAAATAATGTATAATGAAAAAATTTGTTCTTATATTTTATCAGAATGTACTATTATGTGTAATTTTTGTTTGTGGTTTTTATCATGTCCACATTAGTTAAATTTTTCATTGAAAACCAGAAATTTTATTGAAAATTTTGTTAGTTTTATTGAGGGTCTCTGCTGATTTTTAGAAAGTAAGGGTTACTTTTAGCCCCATCTAGAAAAATTGAGATACTTTGTGCATCATTGTGCTTAAAATTTTTCATGAAACTATCCGTGACATATGAAGGTAGCACTTGAAGAAACTTGAAGATCCCTATTTTAGAGTTGAAAGCTTGGAATAGTTTGTGTAATTAGCAAATGTTATTAATATTCTAATCTGTCTAAAATATTAAGTCAGTTTAAAAATGTGTTCTTTTTTTTCTAGAAATATCTTGAAGAGAACCCTTTTTATGAAAGGCGTCTTGATTTGGACCGTGCTGCTGGCACATGTAATGTCACAGGCAAGGGCAATGATAATGATGCTAACAAAGATAAGGACAGCAATTGGACTGTAGTTGATGATATAAAAAGCCAGAAGCCAACATCAAGTACCCAGGATGAAAATGAGAAAGAGACCCCTAATTTTAGTTTAAATCAATCTGCCAAAAGGAGCTATCGTAAAAGACCTAGGTCTCCTGAACACTCTTCATCAGTTGACAGAGAATCACCAGATAGAGGCCGTTCAAGGTATCGGAAATCAGATTACAATCCAGAGAGAGAAGAGGAAAAAAGGGCAAAATCAAGAGATTCTTATGAAAGGTCTGTGCATCAAGACAGAAGAAAGGACTCTTACTCATCGAGGGGTTATAAAAAAGGTGACAACAGAGGCGACCCTAGCAGGTCAAGAAGCTCAAGAGATGATTACTATGAAAGAATATTGTCTGCTTCACGCAGAGATGAAAAAGACCATCCAAAAAGTTCTAATCACAATGATGATTCAAATGAAAAACCAGCTGCTAGTGGTGGTAGTTCCCAGGCAAACGATGGACAGTCAAAAAGCAAAATAGAAATAAAATTCAAAGGAAAGTTGCCTGTAAAAGAAAATGTCTTAACACAGGTGAAGAAAATGCCAGTTGTCACTGCCCCAAAAAAGCCAGTCCTAATCGGAGCAAGACCCTCAGCTCTTCAGAAACAAAAGAAAGATGGCCATGAAGATGACAGCTCAAAAGAGACACAGTCACTGGACATGTTCTTGTCCATCGAGGGCAGTGGTTCAGAAGTTAAAAAAGCAGTCCCCATCAAGAAGGAAAAAGAACTCGAGACGGCGATTGCCCAAGCATGGGGTAGCAAGAGCAAGATAACAACAGAGGACCAAAAGGAGCGGGAGGAGGACTTTAAGATGCTGGGTATTGAGGCAGACACCATGACTCCAGCTGCCGTTCCTGTCCCACCACCCATGCTGCCCTCTAGGGGAAATAAACCACTTACTTCCATGGCATCGTCTAGTGTGGAAGACGTATACAGTGTGTTCTTCGGTGAAGGAAAACAAGACAGCGGCCAATCTAAACCTGACTCTGGGAAGGATACTGGTGATGGTAAGGAATTTAGTGCTAAAATGTGTTTGCAAGTTAAAAAGAACTGCTTGTCTTTTTGTGTGCTTTAAAGAGAAAATCTGCTTCGTTGTGTTTGAGAAAGTCCCCAACCCTCCATCACTGGACCTGCATATGATACATGAGATGTCAGATTTCTATGGATATTTGGTTTGTGTTGTATGTATATATTTATTCCTTATTTGTCATAAATACAAAACCTGATCCAAATAAGAATGCGTTTGAATTAATTTGTTTTGTTTTTTTTTAAACTCCTTTCAGATAATGCTAGCGTGGGGAGCGACCTTAGCCTGGAAATGGGCAGTGACTTTGAGGTTCTAGATGAAATAGATGCAGAATAATTCATGATGTCATCAAGAACTTTTAAAGGACACAAGATTGCACCTAAGCCTGCAAAATTTACATATGCCTGTCTTTAAATAATGGAGCAACATTGTGTTATTCATGAGTCTCCATTGTTCTTCAAACTAGTATCTGAACATTTTAAAATTGATTTTGTAGAGTTATTGACTATGATTGATTAAAATTGACAGATTAAATAACAAGAATTTTCCAGACAAATGTTAAAATAATATTACATTTTATCTATTTGGATTTTTACCTTTTCATTGTTGTATCATGTATGTGTGTGTCATGCATCTAATAGCAGTCCAGTCATATATCAAATAAATTGCATTTCAATTTTATAAGCACTTGAAGAATATTTTAATAAAAAGAAAAGAAATTTAATGAAAACAAGAAGGACATGCACCATGAAGAACAGGTCTGTTACTTCAATTCCATCCATTGTTGTGAGACCTCATTTAAGCAAAAATGATGGAAGTGATTTTCTGCCTTAATTGCCTTGCTGGACAAATTTGTCAAAACATGAACTTCAGCGTTTGCAGAAATAATGAAGATGGTGAAAATATTTTACGACTCTAGGATTACCAAAGAACATGAAGCAGACATTGCATCTTTTTTGCAGTAATGCAGAGTTGCCAATGTGACATTATGCAAAATGCGAAGATATATGTTCTCATTTCTGTCTTATTAACAGTAAGATAACACCTGAAAAAATTGGGAGTCTGGAGTAATATGAAGGATAAAGCAACTCTGGTTAGAATCAAGATGAGAACATCCTTATTGGAAAAATTGCAATCACCAAGCTATGAAATTTGTATTCATTATGTAAGCAATTTTTGTGACAGTTTTACCTAAAATTGCCAAATGAGAACATGGGTGTTTTAGTTATAGTTATTGTAAAGCAGTTTTATAAATCAAATTGGGGATATTTAAAAGGCTAAAAATAGCTTCCAGTATGTTGGTGTAAGTCCGAAGTCTCTTGAACTGTCTATTTAAAAACAATGACCACTTGTGAATATTTGAAAGCAATATAATGTTAAATTTTGGATATTCATTAGCAGCCACAATTGGCTCAAATGTGAAACCTATAATAATCAGTTATGTATGTTTCATGGATATAGATAGTAAATTAGTTAAGCATGGGCAATATTGTACAAAAGTATTCTATGAAGTGAATTTATTGGTTTAATCAAGTGAAATAAATTGAGGGCAGTTCAATAAACAAGTCTGTTGTAATTTACTCAATTTTGGTGTGATTAATTAAATTAATTTAAAGGGCCAATAAAAAATCAGTAATTGTCTATGTAGTCCACCTAGTTTTTTCCCTGTCCAAAGTGTAAAGAATAATAAATGGTATTGCATTTTATCTGGCATTGGGCCCAAGGAGCAGAATTGACCCTTCATGCATTCTCTGCTTTCAGGGATATTGGTTCATCATCAATCCCCATTAAATGCAAGTCCGACTTGGCATTTCAATCTCCGTTACCACTATACCACTGATTAGCCAGCAGTCTTAAAGTACATGGCTCTCAGTCATTCAGTTAAATTATTTTATTTTGAATATGACTTCGGTTATTATTGGTCTGTTAGTTACAAGAGAAATACAATATTTACCAAAGGACCTTTATTCACTTTTAGTAAAAATAGATATGTTGATGTTACAAGTTATTGCATTCACATTGACCTCTGGTACTAAAAGAATGAACTATACTGACATTGCTCCATATTATAAACAATACAAAAATGGTTATCATTCTGTACATTTCTATATGCTCTAACATATACCTTTCACCAAGTTTTTGAGTATTGAACTATCCTACTATCAATAGACTAATGTAGAGGCCAATCAATGTAGACTCCTTGTTCATCATGTGTAAATGTTTACATTCACATAAAATCTTTGTCAGTCTCAGTTGTTTTCAAAGACCTTATTAAAATCAATCCTCATTGATAAGTTCTTTTTGTTTTCTTTTTTCTTGACACTATACAAAACTTTTTTCCCATGCACAATACTAAGATGCAATAGATCGACTTCATGCAGAATATATGGCCAATGTAAAACATTCTTGCCTGAGATCTCGTTGATTTTCAAACTGGAGAATAAAGCTCCAGTTTACATTTGATTTAATAACTTGTCCAACCTTTTAAATACCTGGGTTTGCCATCTTTGAAGTAAGATTACAACTAAGTCATTCCACAAAAAAAAAAGTCATGTCAGTGCTGCCCACATTTTGGGAAATTTTGACTTGTCCCATTATTTTCGTTGTTGTGACTGTACCCTTCAATATAGAAAGATAAAAACAGGAATTAATAAGTGATATTGAACAGTTATACAAATATTACATAAGAAGTGCACCACTGAAGTGAGGCAAATGTTCACTTTTTGTGGAATGACCAGTCTTCCTTCCTCTTGATACTTGCTGCTGTTATCTGCACACATGTAGCATACAATTCCACTACACCTTTCTTTTTGTGCCCTGTGCATTTTTCTCTGCACTTTAATTTTCTGAAATTTTCTTCTATGAATAAATCTTCAGATGAGGACACCATATTCGACACAAAGTCCTATAAATCATTGCATTTAGTCAAGCCCCACTGCTTTCCTACAACCTTGTAAATTCAGACTTGGATGTTGAAATCCATCAGAACTCCATGATGACATCAGGATATTTATATGTTCTGAACTGTAATTCAAGTTAATTTCATTGACCCTTTATCCACTGTTACCCATTTTTTTCCCTTCTGAAACCAGCCTGTGTTGAAATCCAAGAGTTTGGGGTTGTGAAAAGAGATGAAATCAAATAAACTGAGGACTATCGTAACACGAGTGAGGCAGATGCATAACTAACTGATGAATCGGAGGTTGAGTGGCACTGGTTTGACTGGGCATATTGTACAAACTTCATAGACATTGTGCGCCCATTGGAGTGCTTCTTTAAGGCATCTACAGCCTGAAACAGACATTTTTCAGTATAATTATTATAATTACAGCAACTGTTTTAATGATACTTTGTCTGAAAAAGAAAATCATTTATTATATTGTATTTATCATTACAAATGTATATTATGCTATTAAAGGTATACATATTCAAGTGCTTGAGTAATGAGCCTGATATGGGATCAATTTAACAAAATGTATCTAACAAAATATATCAAAAGAAAATCATCTTTTTGAAAAGAGAACTGGATTTTTCATTTTTTACAGAAATCAAAATAAAATGCATCTACATTTCTTCTTGAATAATTCTTATGTTATATATAGCAACAACTGTAAAAATGATTCATTCTGATTTTTATGAATAAATTTTCTTACATTTAATAACACCCCAATGGGATGTCTTCCACAGATTGTGTTGCCAAACTTCCTGAGATACTCTGCGAAGGCCATAGGATTCAAACTTTCAATCAGGTCCATCCCCTACAAAGAAGTGACAAAGTGATTTCTCAAGTTTTCTACTGCTGAATAACATTATGCTGGTTTTGAGGGTGAGGCACAATAACATTCTGCTAAAGATGTAAAAATGGAAATGTGAAAAAGATGGTGTTACAAATTATTCATCAGCTTGCAACATACAATTTGTTAGATAATATCTGATTAAATAATCTAGTATGCATGTGCACTTGTGCATGAAGAGTTGAACTTGAAGAAATGTCTTCATTATAAGCAATTTTGTTAAAGTAATTCAATTAGATGGATGCACTGTCATCTCGACATGTATATTGTTTTATGTTAGCAGCTGAAATAAAAATATTGAATTTCAGGCATGAGATTTTTTCAAATCATTGACATTTCATTTTTTTCTCAGTAAATTTCTTGCATAGAACAGTAAAGCTGTGTGCCATGTATTAGACATTCAGCACAAAAAGTCACTCTGGCTGGTTTAGAGTTTTGCTCTTACATGCCCAGCTACTTTTCACATAAAGTGATAGACTTTTCTGTATCACACCAGTCTGACTTGTCCTAACGTCATTACGCCAGCAGTGTTTTAACTCCTTTTCACAAGCCCTAATGTTACAATCAAAATCAATCTGGTTAACTGGCTATCTTGAGCGTCAATCCCTCAAACTACTGCAATGCAGAAAACTGTACCACTTGATGTGAAATGGTCATTACTTCACTTGTGGTTCATACTCACCTTCCTGTCTAAAGTCTCTATAGATTGCCATATATCACCACACGATTTGTCATAGTGAGTATAATGGAAGCGCTTGCCTGGGACAATGTATGAAATAAAATAAACGTGAGTCGAATTTTGAAAAATATATTATTTGAATTAGGTTTCACCTGTCTGAGCACTAGCATGATCTTGTGTTTGAATCCGTTCACAGTGACATATGTTTGGGATACGTGTCCCTGAGAGTAGTTAAATTTCAAAATCAATTACTGACCAACTATTCGAAAAAAATTGGCAAATGTTGGGCAAATATAAATATCCTTTACTTTCTTTCACAAGACTTTTTTTTTTTGGAGAAAAATTACGATAATAAATGGCTTTTTAGAAGCCTCTAAACCATCTTTTAATGACAAAAAATAATGTGAAGCCCACCACTGGTGAGATAATACATGAATAAATTTCTCTAACTTTTGCTGTCAGTACACACAAATTGGAAAATTTGAAATCTATACATTAATTTGTCTGTAGCACTGATGAGCAGTTATTAATCAATGATGCCAAGTAGACTGAAATTTATTAATAAAAGAGATGAAACTGTGGCTGCCTAGCTTGTATTCAGAGGTGAAAACCTTCATGTGGCCAGCACTTCAACTATATAAATTTCACAGAGTAATCTCTTAGCAGACTGAAGTCGTAAAGAATTCATTGATCAATTACATGATCTGGGTGGATTATCTTCAAAGATTGCAAATCCTTCAAAACCTCCAACGCTGCCTTACAGAATGAAGTCACTTGAGTGGTTTTCAGAAACTTTTTAGGTCTTGCACTCACTGAAAGCAATCTAGCAACCAGGGTGCATTTCAATAAAAGTGCACGTCAAAATAGTAGAATTGTACTTACTATAATATAATTTAGTGAAACATATGAACTCACCCCAGTGACAGAAGTCTGAAGAAATAACAAAGAGATTCTCTGGATCTGCTAGAAACCGGCTGAATATCTGTCCATAGTGTCTTTCCTTGTCTGTGGATAAAGAACCCACTAGGACAGGAACAATGGTAAACTGACCCTGGCGGCTGAAAATAATTCCCAAAAATTTTCAAGCTTATTTCAAGTTTTTCTTGAATTTATACAAACTTGGTACTTTTAAACAATTGAAAAGTCCTATGTAGAAGTCTTGTATGCAACTTGAAATCCATTCTATATCTTTATGTTCATTTTTAAGTTATGAGTAGAGTAACCAGGCACTTAACAACATAGCATTCTTAATCAATTGACAATAACTCCAAAGAGATCTAATTATGACAATGCATCATAGTCAAGATTCCATCGGCAGGACTTGGACAAAGAACTATTGGCAAAGGAATTACAACATGGCTTATTGGGATGGATGTTACTGCAATCGATATATATCACTGACACTGCTTCAAATGGACAAGACCAATTGCAAGGCAATTTCTACGATAAGAGCATCACAATAAATACTTTTTTTTGCCTGATTAATCTATCTGAGTGATTACTTTCAAAGCAGTATGACTTTAGAAAAGGATGTTGTTTCAGTACAAAAACACTGGCAGTGTTGATAACTAAATAAAAAAAAAACATACACAAGGCTCATTTATTTCATGTTTGTGTAGTTCCAGATACTATCGATTTAAAAAACCAGCACTGCATCAGGCCAAGGACGTTCTCGGTCCTTTACCCTACATTTCAGTGCACTTTGTTCTTTTTCTTTAAACACTTGGTACAAAACTTAAGATCATTTTCTTGATAATCTAAAGCTTGGGGCATAATATTTGAACTTTAAAAATGTTAGAATTCTAGTGTTAGTACTCAGGTAAAATAGCAAAATATGTCACTGGATGAAATTTAAAAGGAAGATCCAGACAAATCATTCCAGCTTTACCTTTCCATAACTTTTGCTATATATGGTAAATGCATTTCTATACTGTGTTCCCCTTCATCTGTTCCAATGGTCATGGGTTCAAATGAACCTGTACTGTACAGTTCTTCATAAACTAAAGAGAAATAAAACAGCTTTGTTGGAAATGGTGAGCAATATCTGAGGAACTGGCAAAGAAAGCACTGCATTTTATGTTGTTACAAAATCTGGAACATTTTTCAATGAATATCATTTCTGATTACAATGGTAGTTATTTTTTCATTTACAAATATTAACATAATAAATCATCTTAAATTTGCTTAAACAAATATTAACCAACCACAAGCCCATAAAATGTTTCCTAATCATTTAACTGAAAGAAAATACTTTTAGAAATAAAAAAGCCACTGACAAAATACTTTATCATGTAACAAGAGCTACAGGAGGGAATGGCGCCCCAAAATCAATGCACTTTTGTAAACTTTCCCAAAGCCCAATAGAACAAGGAGCAATCCATAAGTCACTGACTAAACGTCCCTAGGTAATGAGTTAGAAATAAATAACGGCAATACTTTATGGAGATTGGGCTACATATGGATTTTTTCAAACCCAAAATAATGGCCAAAATAACAGAAGAAAACAAGGCAGCAAAGCTGTCAAATGTACAGACAAAAAGCAAAAAATAATAATGCACAAAATAGGATACTGTAGAATCTGATGATAAATACATTATGCTTAACTGCCAAGTCAACATTAAATTTTAATTATGCACAACAGGTAATACTGACGAAAGTAAAAGCATAAGGCTTCAGGCCCATGAGAGTTCAAGTTCACACTTAGAAAACGCCAGAATGAGAAAAATGAAAATTTCTCAAAAAAATTGCGTTAATTCAAAAAAAAAAAAAAAAAAATTATAATCCAATAGAGCTGGTTTTCTTATTTGAGCTGTATGTCAATCCCAAGAATCATTCTTGTAAATAAAAAGAAATAATAAGTAACAGTTTTCTTTTTATCATAATGTTTGGTTTTTTGTCAATTTTAATGCAATATTACATAATGATTAACTGTATAATTACCACCAATTTTTAATTATCTTCTATTAATAACATGGACATTACAAAATTTGATTACACTGAAACTGCCCGTGGGAGTTCCAAGTCCCACACAGAAAGTGCCAATATGTAAAAGATAAAAATTTCACAAAAATGTACAACAGAAAAAGAAGCCAATTAGATTGCAAAAGTAGGCTTTTCTTCATTTCTGATGCAATTTTACATGATGCTTAACAGCATAATGACCATCAATTTTTAATAATAAAATAAAAGTATCATGGATATTCAGAAAATGTGACCAGCAAAGCCCGTGGGAGTTCAAAGCCACACCTTGAAAATGTCATGTGTGAAAAATAAAATTTTTCACAAGAAATGAATAACTTCCAGAAAAATATACCAATAAGACAGGTTTTCCAACTGAAGCTGTATTTAAGTCCTATGTTTCTTTCCTGTAAGTGTGGGAAGAGTAAGTGACATGGTTTTGCATTAATGGTCACTTTGTAGGCAATGCCAAAAATAGGGTTTTCTTCAATTTTGATGCAATATTACATACTGCTTAACAGCATAATGACCATAAATTTTTTACAATAAAAAAAAAGTATCATGGATATTCAGAAAATGTGACCAGCAAAGCCCGTGGGAGTTCAAAGCCACACCTTGAAAATGTCATGTGTGAAAAATAAATTTCTTCACAAGAAATGAATAACTTCCAGAAAAATATACCAATAAGACAGGTTTTCCAACTGAAGCTGTATTTAAGTCCTATGTTTCTTTCCTGTAAGTGTGGGAAGAGTAAGTGACATGGTTTTGCATTAATGGTCACTTTGTAGGCAATGCCAAAAATAGGGTTTTCTTCAATTTTGATGCAATATAACATACTGCTTAACAGCATAATGACCATAAATTTTTTACAATAAAAAAAAGTATCATGGATATTCAGCAAAAGTCTTCAAGGCCATGGATGTTCGGAGTCAAACTTTGAAAATGCCAGAATGTACACAAGAGATAACTGTACTGAAATGAGTTCATTTCCATTTTCAACACCTTTTTACATAAAACAAAAAAATCATTTTACTGTCATTTTCATACAACAAAATTGTTGACATAGGAAAAATATCAACAGAACAACTTCATTTGTCATATTTGCTCCATTCTGAGATTCTTAACATAGTGAATGAATGAACCTGACAAATTGCAATGACATGAGTTTATTTCCATTTTTAACACTTAATTAAACAATACACAATATCAGGTTTACCATCATTTAACCTAGCTTGGGGGACATTTCTGGAAAACGTGTTCACATTGGAAATTAAATATTATTTTATCATTGACTTTCTACTCCAAGGTGTAATATTGGACTGAGTGAATTAGGAGTGTGTAGTTTGTCTTGGGGGCTTATTGAGCAATAACACACATTCTAACAAGCTAGAGAAGGGTCTCCTGCAATGCAACACTTGTATGCATTGGCCAGTGGCCCTTGAAATAGATGTTAGGCACACTTAACAGACAATTTAAAATTACTTCAAAGGTAACCACTTCTGCAAAATCTTTGTGTATGTAAAGTGTATATAATTAAAAATAATTATTAAAAAATTAATAAATTAATATAATCAATAAAAACCTGCAAAACAAAGTAGCACTCATCAGTACCAACCAAGATCAGAACTGTATTTGAATCACAATAAAACTGACAAATAACATTTTCTTCCCAGATCCATGTCTAAATGAGATGCCTGAACCTGCTCGCCTGGTTAGTGAAATAATTATATTACAGTCTATGTTATTCCATGCCTCAGTATACATTTCTCTTCCCAGTGGGACACTTACTTTTTTGGTCTAATAGTAAATCATACAAAGGAGTTTCATATTTTTCTGTAGTTGATAAAGCGCACCCTGATAACCTGACATGATGAGATGGACCTAGGATGAACACCCGTTTTCTGAAAAAAAAAAAATAATTAATTAATTAATCATCAAACTAAAACACTGAAACTGCATTAACTGCAAGACATGTTTCAGAAATGAGTGAATGATATAAAATGGCAAAGATTGAGCCTCACAACTTTGACACATTTCGCGAAAAGTTTTCAAATTTCTTAGAACTCTACTATGGAACGCNCTTCCTTCCTCTTGATACTTGCTGCTGTTATCTGCACACATGTAGCATACAATTCCACTACACCTTTCTTTTTGTGCCCTGTGCATTTTTCTCTGCACTTTAATTTTCTGAAATTTTCTTCTATGAATAAATCTTCAGATGAGGACACCATATTCGACACAAAGTCCTATAAATCATTGCATTTAGTCAAGCCCCACTGCTTTCCTACAACCTTGTAAATTCAGACTTGGATGTTGAAATCCATCAGAACTCCATGATGACATCAGGATATTTATATGTTCTGAACTGTAATTCAAGTTAATTTCATTGACCCTTTATCCACTGTTACCCATTTTTTTCCCTTCTGAAACCAGCCTGTGTTGAAATCCAAGAGTTTGGGGTTGTGAAAAGAGATGAAATCAAATAAACTGAGGACTATCTTAACACAAGTGAGGCAGATGCATAACTAACTGATGAATCGGAGGTTGAGTGGCACTGGTTTGACTGGGCATATTGTACAAACTTCATAGACATTGTGCGCCCATTGGAGTGCTTCTTTAAGGCATCTACAGCCTGAAACAGACATTTTTCAGTATAATTATTATAATTACAGCAACTGTTTTAATGATACATTGTCTGAAAAAGAAAATCATTTAATATATTGTATTTATCATTACAAATGTATATTATGCTATTAAAGGTATACATATTCAAGTGCTTGAGTAATGAGCCTGATATGGGATCAATTTAACAAAATATATCTAACAAAATATATCAAAAGAAAATTATCTTTTTGAAAAGAGAACTGGATTTTTCATTTTTTACAGAAATCAAAATAAAATGCATCTACATTTTTTCTTGAATAATTCTTATGTTATGTATAGCAACAACTGTAAAAATGATTCGGACTGATTTTTATGAATACATTTTCTTACATTTAATAACACCCCAATGGGATGTCTTCCACAGATTGTGTTGCCAAACTTCCTGAGATACTCTGCGAAGGCCATAGGATTCAAACTTTCAATCAGGTCCATCCCCTACAAAGAAGTGAAAAAGTGACTTCTCAAGTTTTCTACCGCTGAATTACATTATACTGGTTTTGAGGGTGAGGCACAATGACATTCTGCTAAAGATGTAAAAATGGAAATGTGAAAAAGATGGTGTTACAAATTATTCATCAGCTTGCAACATACAATTTGTTAGATAATATCTGATTCAATAATCTAGTATGCATGTGCACTTGTGCATGCAGAGTTGAACTTGAAGAAATGTCTTCATTATAAGCAATTTTGTTAAAGTAATTCAATCAGATGGATGCACTGTCATCTCGACATGTATATTGTTTTATGTTAGCAGCTGAAATAAAAATATTGAATTTCAGGCATGAGATTTTTTCAAATCATTGACATTTCATTTTTTTCTCAGTGAATTTCTTGCACAGAACAGTAAAGCTGTGTGCCATATTAGACGTTCAGCACAAAAAGTCACTCTGGCTGGTTTAGAGTTTCGCTCTTACATGCCTGCTCCTTTTCACATAAAGTGACACAGTTTTCTGTATCACACCAGTTTGACTGGTCCTAACGTAATTACACCAGCAGCGTTTTAACTCCTTTTCACAAGCCCTAATGTTACAATCAAAATCAATCTGGTTAACTGGCTATTTTGAGTGTCAATCCCTCAAACTACTGCAATGCAGAAAACTGTACCACTTGATGTGAAATGGTCGTTACTTCACTTGTGGTTCATACTCACCTTCCTGTCTAAAGTCTCTATAGATTGCCATATATCACCACACGATTTGTCATAGTGAGTATAATGGAAGCGCTTGCCTGGGACAATGTATGAAATAAAATAATATGAGTCAAATTTTGAAAAATCTATTATTTGAATTAGGTTTCACCTGTCTGAGCACTAGCATGATCTTGTGTTTGAATCCGTTCACAGTGACGTATGTTTGGGATACGTGTCCCTGAGAGAAGTTAAATTTCAAAATCAATTACTGACCAACTATTCGAAAAAAAATTGGCAAATGTTGGGCAAATATAAATATCCTTTACTTTCTTTCACAGGACTTTTTTTTTTGGAGAAAAATTACGATAATAAATGGGTTTTTAGAAGCCTCTAAACCATCTTTTAATGACAAAAAATAATGTGAAGCCCACCACTGGTGAGATAATACATGAAATAAATTTCTCTAACTTTTGCTGTCAGTACACACAAATTGGAAAATTTGAAATCTATACATTAATTTGTTTGTAGCACTGATGAGCAGTAATTAATCAATGATGCCAAGTAGACTGAAATTTATTAATAAAAGAGATGAAACTGTGGCTGCCTAGCTTGTATTCGGAGGTGAAAACCTTCATGTGGCCAGCACTTCAACTATATAAATTTCCCAGAGTAATCTCTTAGCAGACTGAAGTCGTAAAGAATTCATTGATCAATTACATGATCTGGGTGGATTATCTTCAAAGATTGCAAATCCTTCAAAACTTCCAACACTGCCTTACAGAATGAAGTCACTTGAGTGGTTTTCAGAAACTTTTTAGGTCTTGCACTCACTGAAAGCAATCTAGCAACCAGGGTGCATTTCAATAAAAGTGCACGTCAAAATAGTAGAATTGTACTTACTATAATATAATTTAGTGAAACATATGAACTCACCCCAGTGACAGAAGTCTGAAGAAATTACAAAGAGATTCTCTGGATCTGCTAGAAACCGGCTGAATATCTGTCCATAGTGTCTTTCCTTGTCTGTGGATAAAGAACCCACTAGGACAGGAACAATGGTAAACTGACCCTGGCGGCTGAAAATAATTCCCAAAAATTTTCAAGCTAATTTTAAGTTTTTCTTGAATTTATACAAACTTGGTACTTTTAAACAATTGAAAAGTCTTATGTAGAAGTCTTGTATGCAACTTGTTATCCATTCTATATCTTTACGTTCATTTAAGTTATGAGTAGAGTAACCAGGCACTTAACAACATAGCATTCAGAATCAATTGACAATAACTCCAAAGAGATCTAATTATGACAATGCATCATAGTGAAGATTCCATCGGCAGGACTTGGACAAAGAACTATTGGCAAAGGAATTACAACATGGCTTATTGGGATGGATGGTACTGCAATCGATATATATCACTGACACTGCTTCAAATGGACAAGACCAATTGCAAGGCAATTTCTACGATAAGAGCATCACAATAAATACTTTTTTTTTGCCTGATTAATTTAAGTGATTACTTTCAAAGCAGTATGACTTTAGAAAAGTATGTTGTTTCAGTACAAAAACACTGGCAGTGTTGATAACTAAATTAAAAAAAAAACATACACAAGGCTCATTTATTTCATGTTTGTGTAGTTCCAGATACTATTGATTTAAAAAACCAGCACTGCATCAGGCCAAGGACGTTCTTGGTCCTTTACCCTACATTTCAGTGCACTTTGTTCTTTTTCTTTAAACACTTGGTACAAAACTTAAGATCATTTTCTTGATAATCTAAAGCTTGGGGCATAATATTTGAACTTTAAAAATGTTAGAATTCTAGTGTTAGTACTCTGGTAAAATAGCAAAATATGTCCCTGGATGAAATTCAGACAAATCATTCCAGCTTTACCTTTCCATAACTTTTGCTATATATGGTAAATGCATTTCTATACTGTGTTCCCCTTCATCTGTTCCAATGGTCATGGGTTCAAATGAACCTGTACTGTACAGTTCTTCATAAACTAAAGAGAAATAAAACAGCTTTGTCAGAAATGGTGAGCAATATCTGAGGAACTGGCAAAGAAAGCACTGCATTTTATGTTGTTACAAATATCTGGAACATTTTTCAATGAATATCATTTCTGATTACAATGGTAGTTATTTTTTCATTTACAAATATTAACATAATAAATCATCTTAAATTTGCTTAAACAAATATTAACCAACCACAAGCCCATAAAATGTTTCCTAATCATTTAACTGAAAGAAAATACTTTTAAAAATAAAAAAGCCACTGACAAAATACTTAATCATGTAACAAGAGCTACAGGAGGGAATGGCGCCCCAAAATCAATGCACTTTTGTAAACTTTCGAAAGCCCAATAGAACAAGGAGCAATCTATAAGTCACTGACTAAACGTCCCTAGGTAATGAGTTAGAAATAAATAACGGCAATACTTTATGGAGATTGGGCTACATATGGATTTTTTCAAACCCAAAATAATGGCCAAAATAACAGAAGAAAACAAGGCAGCAAAGCTGTCAAATGTACAGACAAAAAGCAGAAAAAAATAATGCACAAAATAGGATACTGTCAAATCTGATGATAAATACATTATGCTTAACTGCCAAGTCAACATCAAATTTTAATTATGCACAACAGGTAATACTGACGAAAGTAAAAGCATAAGGCTTCAGGCCCATGAGAGTTCAAGTTCACACTTAGAAAACGCCAGAATGAGAAAAATGAAAATTTCTCAAAAAATTGCGTTAATTCAAAAAAAAAAAAAAAATGATAATCCAATAGAGCTGGTTTTCTTATTTGAGCTGTATGTCAATCCCAAGAATCATTCTTGTAAATAAAAAGAAATAATAAGTAACAGTTTTCTTTTTATCATAATGTTTGTGATGACAGTGTACAAAACAGGTTTTTTGTCAATTTTAATGCAATATTACATAATGATTAACTGTATAATTACCACCAATTTTTAATTATCTTCTATTAATAACATGGACATTAGAAAATTTGATTACAACTGGGCTTCATGCCCGTGAGAGTTCCAAGTCCCACACAGAAAGTGCCAATATGTAAAAGATAAAAATGTCACAAAAATGTACAACAGAAAAAGAACCCAATTAGATTGCAAAAGTAGGCTTTTCTTCATTTCTGATGCAATATTACATGATGCTTAACAGCATAATGACCATCAATTTTTAATAATAAAATAAAAGTATCATGGATATTCAGAAAATGTGACCAGCAAAGCCCGTGGGAGTTCAAAGCCACACCTTGAAAATGTAATGTGTGAAAAATAAAATTTTTCACAAGAAATGAATAACTTCCAGAAAAATATACCAATAAGACAGGTTTTCCAACTGAAGCTGTATTTAAGTCCTATGTTTTTTTCCTGTAAGTGTGGGAAGAGTAAGTGACATGGTTTTGCATTAATGGTCACTTTGTAGGCAATGCCAAAAATAGGGGTTTCTTCAATTTTGATGCAATATTACATACTGCTTAACAGCATAAAGACCATCACTTTTTTACAATAAAATAAAAGTATCATGGATATTCAGCAAAAGTCTTCAAGGCCATGGATGTTCGGAGTCAAACTTTGAAAATGCCAGAATGTAAACAAGAGATAACTGTACTGAAATGAGTTCATTTCCATTTTCAACACCTTTTTACATAAAACAAAATAATCATTTTACTGTCATTTTCATATAACAAAATTGTTGACATAGGAAAAATATCAACAGAACAACTTCAACTGTCATATTTGCTCCATTCTGAGATTCTTAACATAGTGAATGATTGAACCTGATAAATTGCAATGACATGAGTTTATTTCCATTTTTAACACTTAATTAAACAATACACAATATCAGGTTTACCATCATTTAACCTAGCTTGGGGGACATTTCTGGAAAACGTGTTCACATTGAAAATTAAATATTATTTTATCATTGACTTTCTACTCCAAGGTGTAATATTGGACTGAGTGAATTAGGAGTGTGTAGTTTGTCTTGGGGGCTTATTGAGCAACAACACACATTCTAACAAGCTAGAGAAGGGTCTCCTGCAATGCACCACTTGTATGCATTGGCCAGTGGCCCTTGAAATAGATGTTAGGCACACTTAACAGACAATTTAAAATTACTTCAAAGGTAACCACTTCTGCAAAATCTTTGTGTATGTAAAGTGCATATAATTAAAAATAATTATTAATAAATTAATAAATTAATAAAAATCAATAAAAACCTGCAAAACAAAGTAGCACTCATCAGTACCAACCAAGATCAGAACTGTATTTGAATCACAATAAAACTGACAAATAACATACTCTTCCCAGATCCATGTCTAAATGAGATGCCTGAACCTGCTCGCCTGGTTAGTGAAATAATTATATTACAGTCTATGTTATTCCATGCCTGAGTATACATTTCTCTTCCCAGTGGGACACTTACTTTTTTGGTCTAATAGTAAATCATACAAAGGAGTTTCATATTTTTCTGTAGTTGATAAAGCACACCCTGATAACCTGACATGATGAGATGGACCTAGGATGAACACCCGTTTTCTGAAAATAATTAGTTAATGAATTAATCATCAAACTAAAACACTGAAACTGCATTAACTGCAAGACATGTTTCACAAATGAGTGAATGATATTAAATGGCAAAGATTGAGCCTCACAACTTTGACACATTTCGCGAAAAAGTTTTCAAATTTCTTAGAACTCTACAATCGTGTATTCATAAATATATATACATCTTCTTCAACATTACACTGGATTATTAGGAACTAGATCAAACCCAGCAAATTTGGAGTGCTCATAAGCCTGGTTTGAATTCAAGAAAGTTATAAAACACTAATGCCACGAACAGACACAAGTTATAGCAATATGTACAGGAAAATAAATAAAATAAAAAGATTTCAATTCCCTTGTAATAAATGTACTTACATATTTGTGGGATCTACCTGTCTGTAAGCATGGCCGCCACAGGCTCCACAGTAGAAATAACCAGCATGCCTGAAATAAGAATACAGCTGAAATGTCTGGAAAATTATTCATGATATTAAAATTATATATAAATTTGTACACAGGAGATGTAGGTTTCAAACTTAATTATTTGGAAGTAGGAAGTTGAGGTGCTGTTTCCATTTGACAGGATATGAAATCAAGTACTTTCTAAACAAATTCAAAATATTTCCATTTATCAGTGAACATAATTTTGCAGTCATTGGAACTGTATCAATATTTTTATAAAAGAACCAATTGATAAATCCTCAGGCAATGATACAGCTGACAAGATTTAGTTATCTCGCATGTTCCTATTTTCTAGACAGCACTAATATCCTTTAACATCATTTTCAAAGAGCAATTCCCTATCCTTACTCATAAATTGTACTTTTTTTGCAAAGAATATCACCAAGAATAGATGTGACACCATATATGGCACATCTGAGCATGGTACTTAGAGGAGAAGATGTTCAGTAAGTAGGAGACAACTGTTGAGAACATCAACAAAATTGGATCATTGCATTCTCTCCAGACAAAATGTTATATGCAGTCCGGCTCAATTGTATTTTCCAAAACATTCATTTTTTTCCTTTCTAATTTATTAGTACTCAAATAATCACTCAGAGATGATCGATGGATTTTCACAAGCTGAAAGAAGTTATCAAATTGAGCATTCTATGCAGATGGGAGAATGTGTGCACAAGTTTTTTTCCACGAAGGTTTCAGCGGATCAATACATTGATATCCATCAGTATGATAAGACTGTGAGAAAAAACAGACATAAACCCAAGTGTGCATACACCTATATATATTTTAAGAGCAGGTTGCACAGGTTGTTCTCATGTCTATGAAGGCGGACAATATTCTTCCCATGTAATATTTAATATGTACCCATGCCATTGCATGTTTGATGAACAAACTTATCATCACTGATCTATATGGTAGATAATGCAAACACTTGGTTAATTGGAATGAAATGTTCCTTACTTTATGAATAAAGTATGTAAGCCTTCCTAATTGGATATTAAGATGAAAATTTAACTAAATATTGGAAAATGAAGTTGGACATAGTAAGTATTTAATGAAAAGTGGACCAGTTACCCTGTTTTTGAAAACATCCATGAAGATCACAAAAGGTTTCTGGAATTAATTGATAACTTTTTTATTTTAACATTCTAAAGGGAATGATCCAAGATAGCCTCAAACGAGGCCTTCATCATAGTATGACATCATAGGAGACTAGAAAAAATACAAAAATTGGCACAAGTAAACGCCTAATCCGTTGTATGAGGCCTCAGTCTGTCAAAAAGCAAATTATGGTCTGAAAATATACTCACGGTGCAATAATGGCTCTTGCAGGCCAATGGACTGGGCTGGCTTGGTTTAGCCAGCCCTCCAGCTGGGCATTGAGTTCACTAGCTAGAAATGAAAAAAAAAAAGTCATTCAAACCCATGTATTTTTATACATTTAACAAAGGCATTATCCAAAATTGCCATCTGTTTTATCCAATTTATATAAAAACTTTGACTGATACCTCTTGAAAAACTGAATCAGTTGAGCTTAAGAAATTTGACTTAAAATTCAAATTTGGCAGCAAATAGCATTCTTTTTATCCAGAGCAAACATTCAGCTACAGACAACACTTGTTATAAATTCACTATACTTTATATAGGATATAGCAAATTCTTGGCCAAAGTCATAATGACCGCTCATCCTTCAGAGATGACAGCTCTTGCTTCCATTCATAATATGCAAGTAAAGATGTTGTCCACTCATATTACCCAGACAAATATCTCAAATCTTCTTGGATTACCATGCATGACAAGGCATGTGGGAAGTGTTTGGAAGGAAGCCACCAGAGGTAAACAGGATTTACTATTATTTATAAGCACTGTCATCCCTCTTGCTTTTGTCTCAGTATGGCAAGTGCATGCAAATTTCAACAAGCTTAAATGATTCAGGTTTTTTCAAGAGGTATCATTTAAGTTACCACAGGGACTATACTTTTGATCTAACATCATAAATGTCAATGTGAGCCCAGTTATTAGTTTGGCAATAAATACCTTGTGACTGGGCTAAATAAGACATCAAAAGCTGATCTAGTGTGAAGGAAGGACTATTTGTAGAGGGTCCCATTGAGGGCATAGTGATCTCAGTTCACGGGAGATAAAATCATTAAAAATCAAAAATTGTAGTGAATAAAACTTTATTTGTATCTCATTGAAAATGGGAGTCTGGAGATCCCAAATCTGAAAGATCTAAAAATCACAAATAACTGAGTGTAATAACTTTGCTTCAGGAAGGAGCAGAAATAAAAAGCTGCATTCACAAGTCACAGGGATGGGGTGATTCACAGATCACACTAAATAATATGATAGTTTCAAGCATAATGGGAAATAAAAAGTGCAGCTTTCATGGGTTACTAAAACACCCGATGAATGGGACCCTCCTTGTACACTAACCAATGAAATCTTATGTCACTAATGGATTGGAGGAGGGAGGGAATGGTCACATATTTCCTTTTGGTTTAAATTTAACCCCTCTCCCCCAACCCCTCTCCTCATAATGGGCAAAATAAGACAAAACCAAATATCCTTGCATATTTAAGCAAATTTAAGCAAAATTGCTCCCATGTGTTCATATTTGTGAGGGAAGTGAATTTTCATTCTTGTGCACCCCGCCCCCGACCCCTCAGGTCCGCCAGGTAATTTTTCTGATATACTTCATACCCAGGAATGCCATACCCCTGCTTTAAATTATTTTTTAAACAACAAATTAAGTTTGAATATCTACTACTTGTCCAGAACGATCGTGTACAGAACGCAAACATGAATGCAAATCAGAAAACTTAAGCAACCAATTACAAAGTGTAATACTATTATATTTCTGCTAATTCTTAAATACACAAAAATGCCAATTCATACGTCCCTTTGTTCGTAGTTTTACACCATAACAAACATGAGTCATGATTCCCACTAAACGAGTGGCCAGTTGATGGACAGCCTAACGTTTGAAGTTCAATCACGATCAATCCCAGCAGTTTTTTCTCAGTTCTATTCACTTATTGAAAATATCTACCTGAACTAGTGTACCAACTGCCAGCGTGACTGGCTCTTCTCACCCTAGACATCGTAGACCCTATTTTGAACAAGGTATTTTCTCTATTTGTCTCCCAGTCTTGCTCTCCAACAACCGGAAGTAGCCACTAACACATGCGCTTGCGTATTGGTAGGTCAAAGGTCAAAGAGCAACAAAGGGTATCTGTAGTTTGGTTAAGCAGTGGATTGGCTAGATGCACCAAGATTTTAAATATGCAATATTCATGTTTTAAGCAAATTATTGAACCAAAGTAAAGATAACACATTTTTGGACTCTAAAATAAAGATTCCCAAAATGTTACAAGTATCAAAGGTTGCAAGCACACAAATGTCAGGCAGGGCAGGTCAATATAGAAATCAAAATATGATCCATGTGCCATTTCTCAAGTTGGGTTGACCATAAAAGGTTGAAAAGATCCGCCTTCTTCAAAAAAAGACCCCCTTCTTAAATTGCTAGCTACAGGGCTGCATGAAAACAATAGGAACTCTCACATTTCCCACATTCCACTACCTCCAGACATCCTCAAACAAATAAACACACACAAACATAAGACAAGCAATCAAAAAGTATTTAAAATGGTAAAAATTATTATAATACACAAGCATATAAATTTCATTAAAAAAGTAAATTATCATAATAAAAATAAGTGGATATATCTTTGATAAACCAGAAATTTATGACAACACTATTTACTATAGTTTATACAACTTTATTTCATTACAAGTGGACGCAGTTTTTAATAAATTGACTACATGATTAAATATCTGCTGTACCTGTTCTTTGGTCAATAATGAAGCTCAGAAACTGAAGCTACATCTGGCTGGACAATAATAATTATAATGGTTTTAATAGCATGCATTTGTGTATAGAATTTAATAAAATTATGACTAACCTCAAAAATAAGTTAAATATTTAGTATTTTATGATCCAGAAAAATATATAATATCAATTGCAGTTTTGGCGAATCTTCAGAAATTCACAAGATGCTAGCATGATCACAAAATGAATGTGCACATCAGAAACACATGCCAGATTAAGTACAGTAAAATTAACTTGTGATATTCACCACTATAATGTTAGTAGTGAAGAATAAATCTGAATGGCTATATTATACATAGTAATGTACTGTAATTTTTGGGGGCATTAGATTTCAGAATCTTTGTTGGTCTTCTGCTCCACCACATTTTTCCATGTACTGGCATACATAAATTCTGTTTATACACTGGGGTTTTGTAAGACATATTATCTGAATCTATGCTAAATTTCTTTGCAGGATCTAAAACTGCAACAGCTGAGAGTCCACGTATATTAAAAACAAACTTTCCTTCTCTTTTCCTGAGAACTGTTTTTTCAAACATTTGTTCTTCCTTGCTACTCTGTACATTCTGTTTTCTTCTTTTGTGTTTTGGCTCTTTAGAATCAGATCTATACTTATCACTTTTTCTTTCTTTACTTTCATGTTTACGCTTTGGTCTCTTTGAAATGATCAACTTGATTCCTTTTGAAGAGTCATTAGTGCTTTTGACTGTCAAATCAACATTGCTGGTGTCCTCTCCCAAAAACAACAGGTTCTCATCAGACTTATCTGATGGCTCAGAAGGCTCTGATTTCACATCGCCATCAATATCGATTTCGTCTAATCGTGTTTTATCACTGGTGTGTTCACTGTCAGCTTCCATTTTATCAGCAGTGTTCAAGAATACTGCCAGCAGATCTTCTCCACTCTTTAAGCTGTCAGAATCAGCCAAACTCACTAAATTGTCAGTTTTCTTTGGCATTTGGTCCAACTCTATTTGGGCCACTGGAAGCCGTGTAGATAAACAGTCACCAAAGAAACAGTACAGTTTCTCGTACAATTCCTTGTAAGATTTGTAAACCATCCTGGTTGGTTTTGTCTCTACTTGCTTAAATAATTCTCCAGGAAGTTCATCGTTCAGCATGGGCTTCATGTCCTGGGAATCTGTCTTGGTTTCTGATTTCACCTTTTGTTTAGAATCTGAGTTAAGATCCTGAGAAACTGATATCACCTTTGGGATGTCTATTCGTAAAGGGGCTGGTCTTCTTTTTGATCGTATGTTACTGCCACATTGTTTTGATGGCTCATCTCCATTCGCATAACTGTATATTCTAAACCGCAGCACTGATTCTGAGGCAGTCTGCAAAATTTAGTGTGCACAATTAAATCGTGTGAAATGAAAATTGACAAAAGTAATGTACTCCATTGGACACTGCTATAGCAAATCACTTGGAGACATACTCGTTTGATAAACGTCCTCTCAACAGTGTTTATCTCTTGATCAGTACTTTGGCATTTAAATGAAAGCTGCTTTCAACTTTTCTAAAAAATTGAGTTTTACTAAAAATCAATGTTACTTTGTGCCACATATATATTGTTGTGCAATAAAATTAGTTATTACTTACCAATAAAGCACCAACCACTTTGGATGCATCTGCCTTTAATTGCGCATTTCCAAATGTATTATTATTCAATATATTTTCAAGGTGTTTCATGAGAATGGGAAGATTTGGAAGAATATATTGTTCTGTTACCTGAAATTGAAGTAAAAAATCATTGTATAATATTCTCACACAAATAATTTTCTACACAGACAGTAGAAAGAAATTTTCAAGAGATCTAACTTCTAATAAAAAAGTTTCATAATGAACAGAGTATTGAAATAAAGACATTTTTGATCATTTAAACCTTTTACCAGCAGAGCAAGAAAGATGTGTCACCTAACAGACAGCCAGCAGAGTAACATAAACATCACTTCAGTCATGGCTCTAATATAATGCGCCCTATCATCGGAAAAAATGTTGTTTATACGACCCTAGTTGCTAAGCAAATGAGATACTGACCTAGAAGTTGTGGTTGTTGTAATTTGAATGCAATTTCAGGTAGTGTTTTACTGGAGAGGTTGTAAAATATTTAATTTATAGATGGCAGCAAACAGCAAAGTTAGTAGACATCCTGGTCGCATTTCAAAATAACAAAATTTGATCTTGACTAAGATTATACAATGTTTGCTGATTTCAATAAAGATTCTAGTGTTTCACATAGCAGAATTGACTTATATTGAGTTGGAATGTGGGAGTGGGAGTGGCGAGTGTGATAACAATATGCTGGCTGATATGCCAATTGCCATTTATTTGCTGAGGTGGCATTGTTTTTTGCCATGGAAGGGTTAAGATGTTCAATATTTATGCTATACACACTATATTAGCGGATAACAATCATATATCAAATAACAAAAAACAAAAGCCCACTATTTCCCGAAGGGCTCATTTAAAACAACTCATCTTTACACAAATGAGACTAAGCATCGATATTCTGAGAGAAATCTTCAAGAATTATCATCCACTCTTTCACAGAATTAAATGTGCATGAATGAGCCAGAAATAAAAACTATTAGTGCACTCACGGCAGTTCCCAGAGATGCCATGCCCATCACAGTCCCATAATGTGAACAGGGTGGTTTGGTGAGGTCCACCAAAACCTCATTCAATATTTTTATGTTCTTCTGGGCCAACTGATTCACTTGTGAAGACCATTTGCTGATGTTAACACAGAAAAAGAACAATATATGTTTAGTAACTTATTGAAATATTACAAGACATCAACATTTCTAGTGGGTTAATCTGTATTATATACATTATATATATATATATATATATGTTTAACCTTGTCAATCACTAATCCTTCATAACTGTATCTTATAAATTTCAATATGTACAAAATTTAATTCACTCCAAATCTGACTAAACATAACCAAGTATCACTTACTTTAAGACCTGAGCTAGTAACCTGGCAGCATAGTCTCTCAGTGCCCAGTGGTCATTTAATGGATTGATAGACGCAGCGAGTGGTTCCAGTAAACAGTACATTATACCCTGTACTAAATGGTTTAGCTGAAAAAAAACAAACAAAAATGCATAAATTTGTCATGGAATATTACTTAATATTACTTTGAATAAGACTAGAGAAGCAATGCAATTATAGTCTGTGTTTCTTACATTTAGTAACAGTAAAGATTAAAAGATCTTTCAAATCATAAAACAATTCTTATTCCCTCTAACCTCACAACTTTTTAAACAACTGCAAATGGAAAGATTTACAATACATGCTTATACAGAAATGCATACTTGTACAGAAATGCATACTTACACAGAAATGGACTTACAATATATACAGAAATGCAATCTCTTTTATACCAATGACAGATTCAAAATTCTATGAAAAAGGGGCCACAGTGAAATAGCACTGATGAAATGTGAATACCTCCCAAGAAATTCTTAAGCATATAATTCTGTTTCCCACAACACTTTATTTTATCTGCAAAAGCTGACATCATCTTTCCTGCAGCCTCACTCCATTTGAAACACAAACACCTTCCCCACATTAAATGCCAGTAAAATTTTGCAAACTCATTCAGTTACTTGCCCACTGTTTCTGCTTTGGATCAATACATTCTTATACCCTAGTGACCCGAAGGACCTGTAAGGTGAAAGGTTTTTAACACAGACTGCCCAGAGTTCACACTCACATATGGTCTTGGTTCCAAGAAGAGGGAGGGATTGCTGATTACAGCCTTGACTGTATGGAGTAATTTCGTCAGCTGCGAAACATCATGACTTACAGTCCTTACCTAAAATGGAAAAAAATATCCTTCTTAACATAGCTTGACTAAGTTAAAATATACTAGGGGATATTGTAAGGAACTTTACATACAATTATTAACCATTCCACATTGTTAAATACTTATTTTACCATTTGCATCCTAAATTTACATGTAACTGATGAAGTTATAAACACGAACTTTTGATAAAACCTCCCATAAGTCATTTGTCTGAACGTAAAAAAAGATTTGCTGGTGAATAAGTGAAAATTGCTGTTACTTGTTTATTGCATATGTTTTAATAAGGTATTGAAATAGTTATTTACCCCCTGAGATATGAAGTTCACCAAATATGGCATCAAAGGTAAAATTCTGGCATTGGTCCTTAGATCCTCCAAAGCAATCTGAAACCAGATGACTGCTTACATTGAAACGCATTTAAATAGATCAATTATTTCTGACAACCAAGCCTATCACTTTTCAGTTGTGTCAGACTCTTATCAAAATATACAAGGAACAAATTCAACTTAGTGCGGTGAGAAAATGCAAAAATCAAAACCACCTTTCAATACTCTTTAGGCAAATTTATCAATACCATAATGCTGTCAGTTACAACAAGCACCTCCATTGCCTCAGAGAGGTGCTGAATCAAACAGTTGTCTTACAAGTTATAGGCTTATATATCACACAAATTACCCTCATGAGTTCATCATCATTCCCCAAAATGGCCATGGTCATGTTATCATAGTAGGTTTGTAAATCGGCACTTATTCCTTTGTTCACTTTGCCATTCTGTTTGCCTAAAAATTAGAAAAAAATACTGCATTAGTATTTATTTTTATTACTCTTGAAATCATAGACCTCCAAATAACCAAATTGCTTAATATGAACTTACTTGATGTAAACAATAATGTACACGGTACACTCAAGCTCAAGCAGACATAGACAATTATACATAATGTTTTATGCATTAACACAAACACACACATACATATACAGCATGTGATTAAGTAGTCTAAGGCATTGGAATGGATCAGATGTAGTCTGGTGAAGCAGGTTAGTCTAATTCTGGTCTAAACTGGCCCTAATGTGAATGTGTTTTAACCTTATAAATAGCAATTTTAGAAAGCTTAAGTTCAATCCCTGTCTATTGCTCCCACTTTTATCTCACCTCCAGAGGTTGGTGCTCCTTTATGGGTGCCTTCAACGGCAAGCCAATGAGCTACAAAAAAAATTAAATTCTGCATATGGAATGTCTAAAACACAAAGATAATATATCAAAACAGATAAAAAGATTTATTTGGAGACAACAAAATATATGCTAGACTGAAAATAGAAACAATTGAAAGTACAGATGTTCAATCACTTTCATTTATTCTAATCAGTTACTTTTAATGGATGTGGAGCCTGGATTTTGGGGCCCACATCCTCCCAGAGCCATTCCAGCCAGATTGACCTCCCTGTCTTCCACAAAATGGAGCTCGCCTCCTGCAGTCTGTCGAAATGTGGATGGTTCCCCAGATCCTTGTCCATATATGATCTAATATGTAAAAAGGCAAAAGTCCGATCCTTATATTTAACATAATAACATAAAATTATACATTAAGTTTTTATACTGCTTGAATTGGCAAAAAGATACAACAGGTATTATGGTGATATTATGGTGTCAATTAATGGGTTGGTTCATGACTACTCAAGAAATGGAGGATTTCATTGTATTTAGTACACTTTTGAATTAAGAGAATAAGACTCTCTCATAATGACATTAAATGTGTGCATCTTTCCCAACTTACCTCCACATCACTTGCACTTAGTGCCTTGTTGAAATCTTCAGTGGTCAGTCGCCTCCTNTGTAAGGAACTTTACATACAATTATTAACCATTCCACATTGTTAAATACTTATTTTACCATTTGCATCCTAAATTTACATGTAACTGATGAAGTTATAAACACTAACTTTTGATAAAACCTCCCATAAGTCATTTGTCTGAACGTAAAAAAAGATTTGCTGGTGAATAAGTGAAAATTGCTGTTACTTGTTTATTGCATATGTTTTAATAAGGTATTGAAATAGTTATTTACCCCCTGAGATATGAAGTTCACCAAATATGGCATCAAAGGTAAAATTCTGGCATTGGTCCTTAGATCCTCCAAAGCAATCTGAAACCAGATGACTGCTTACATTGAAACGCATTTAAATAGATCAATTATTTCTGACAACCAAGCCTATCACTTTTCAGTTGTGTCAGACTCTTATCAAAATATACAAGGAACAAATTCAACTTAGTGCGGTGAGAAAATGCAAAAATCAAAACCACCTTTCAATACTCTTTAGGCAAATTTATCAATACCATAATGCTGTCAGTTACAACAAGCACCTCCATTGCCTCAGAGAGGTGCTGAATCAAACAGTTGTCTTACAAGTTATAGGCTTATATATCACACAAATTACCCTCATGAGTTCATCATCATTCCCCAAAATGGCCATGGTCATGTTATCATAGTAGGTTTGTAAATCGGCACTTATTCCTTTGTTCACTTTGCCATTCTGTTTGCCTAAAAATTAGAAAAAAATACTGCATTAGTATTTATTTTTATTACTCTTGAAATCATAGACCTCCAAATAACCAAATTGCTTAATATGAACTTACTTGATGTAAACAATAATGTACACGGTACACTCAAGCTCAAGCAGACATAGACAATTATACATAATGTTTTATGCATTAACACAAACACACACATACATATACAGCATGTGATTAAGTAGTCTAAGGCATTGGAATGGATCAGATGTAGTCTGGTGAAGCAGGTTAGTCTAATTCTGGTCTAAACTGGCCCTAATGTGAATGTGTTTTAACCTTATAAATAGCAATTTTAGAAAGCTTAAGTTCAATCCCTGTCTATTGCTCCCACTTTTATCTCACCTCCAGAGGTTGGTGCTCCTTTATGGGTGCCTTCAACGGCAAGCCAATGAGCTACAAAAAAAATTAAATTCTGCATATGGAATGTCTAAAACACAAAGATAATATATCAAAACAGATAAAAAGATTTATTTGGAGACAACAAAATATATGCTAGACTGAAAATAGAAACAATTGAAAGTACAGATGTTCAATCACTTTCATTTATTCTAATCAGTTACTTTTAATGGATGTGGAGCCTGGATTTTGGGGCCCACATCCTCCCAGAGCCATTCCAGCCAGATTGACCTCCCTGTCTTCCACAAAATGGAGCTCGCCTCCTGCAGTCTGTCGAAATGTGGATGGTTCCCCAGATCCTTGTCCATATATGATCTAATATGTAAAAAGGCAAAAGTCCGATCCTTATATTTAACATAATAACATAAAATTATACATTAAGTTTTTATACTGCTTGAATTGGCAAAAAGATACAACAGGTATTATGGTGATATTATGGTGTCAATTAATGGGTTGGTTCATGACTACTCAAGAAATGGAGGATTTCATTGTATTTAGTACACTTTTGAATTAAGAGAATAAGACTCTCTCATAATGACATTAAATGTGTGCATCTTTCCCAACTTACCTCCACATCACTTGCACTTAGTGCCTTGTTGAAATCTTCAGTGGTCAGTCGCCTCCTTTTGCTGTGTCTCATGTACTGACAGCTACTCTGAAGATCAAAAATAAAGGATAATAAAATGACATGAAGTTAATGCTATCAAAACTGCTTATATATAATTCAAATTAGAGTTGAATATAATATACCTGCAAAGCTTATCTGCTGATGGAGTCCAGACCAACAAACAACAGCAGGGCACGTCCACCACTGACCCCCCCCCCTCCCATTTCTCTCTCACACACAAACATACACACATACACATACCACCACCATCATCACAAGAACAACAACTGCACCAATGGAACTGACAACCCTTGCCTGAGTTTTTGGACTCGCATGCTATGAAGGTAAGGCCTCATTATACCATGTGTTGGAAACTTCTGAGGCTTTATATGATGTCACATTTAAATGGCATGCAGGAATGGCAGTTGAACTTTTTCAAACTGCATGGTGCATGGATACATGTAGATACAAAATGACTTTAAATGAGAATAATGTTAGATACAACAAGGTGTGCTGGTGGTCACACAAAAGGACGTGGATGTTCATATCCATGAGAGTTATAACCACAGAGTGGAATGAGTCCTAACCAGCGTTAAGTACCAAGCATTAAGGCCGAAACTGAGGCAACAACGACCCCTCCCCTCCAAAATATAGATGAAGATAAAACCTAAAGTAAGATTCCATCGTCGACTGTTTTGATGACACGACATTTAAAAACCAAAAGCAACAACAAAAACAACACTTTTTAACTGCATTCAAGTACCTGCACCGCTTCTCTCAGTCGGTATGTAGCATCTTCAGCAAGGAGAGCGGCAACACTCTCGGTCACTTCAGAATGGCCCTCTGCCTCCGCAAACAGGCGTATGGATTCCCTGGAGATGATTGCATATCGTTTCTCTTCCATATTACAATTTTCATCGCTGACTATGCAATACAAATACACTCCATGTGATCCACTAATTGAATAAAATACATTTTTAACACGGCCAATTGATCATCTCATGGAGGCGGCCATTTTTGTTGACATCATCACGTGACATAATCATAATCTCTTTTAAAATAAATTACAAAAAAAGGTATGGATTGATTGGATCCTTTATCTTTCGTATTAGGTACATAATTAAATGCCAAATAACGTAAAAATAAGACATCATATTTACATCCCATTAAAGAACAAGGTCAGTCTTTGAACTAGGCTTTGAGCTAAGAAAACAACAGCATGCTGCCACTGCATGAGCACTGCGGGTCATCAAGTCTACCAGACTACCAGTGATACTGGTACGTGTTTTATGCACCACTGCCCAATGTGTCGTACTGCTTGAACGGCGTGCATTTATCCATTGTTAAACAGGTGAGATATTTGACGTTGACAGGTAAAAAAAGAGCCTAAGTATCGACTCACAGCTTCCATATGCAAGCGCATGCATTCTGATTAAACCGTACGTGCTTGTAATTATATACATGCTGTACAGTTACTAATCATCCTAAGAATTGCTAACGTAACGCATGTCAGTCAGTTATTTGTGCGAATGCACTTTTTAGAAAGCAATGACCCTCGTTCGTAATGTAGGATAGTCGGAGATAAATTATACATATATCAAGAACATTACTGGTATCTGCTAATCGGACCGTTACATAGGGTCTTACAGATAATGGCATGCCATTAATACTATCGATTATCCCCCCCCACACATCTCTTTTTGTCTCCACATGCAGCATGATGCAATTTCCTCCATCTGACGCCTACGTAATTATAAATCAATTTATTCAGAATCTGCTTATAGTCGTGTGCCTTTGTTGCATGTATGGTAGCCAGGTAGGGCCTATACTTTCTTTCTTTATATGCCTGTCTTTATATATTGATCTTGAATAAATAAAAATAAATAAGTAGAATTAATTAAAAGAAAAAGATAATAACTTTCCTACCCCTTAACCCCATCAGATCAACCTGTGTTTTAATTAATGAATGCAAAGTTAATATTTTATTGAAAGTAAGTATAGGCAAATGTTATAGCACATGGTAGTAAAAGGGAATTTAAGTGAAATAGAATCTTTAAATTACAGTATATATATTGACCTAACAATAAAGTGTATCTTAACGCTGTTAAAAGTAAATATGTGTGAAACATGTTTATTTGCTTGCTGTATTAGGCAGGCACGTCAGGTCAAACATAGAGCACAGATTGTCACTTCAGTTTGTTTGCAGTAGATAAAAGACAGATAACCACAGTTCAAGGGAGAAATTAAATTTTGGTGTCTTTTTTATTTTATTTATTTATTTATTTATTTATTTATTTATTTATTCATTCATATATTTATTTTCTAATACAGTATACATAAACGTGTGTGCTTGTTTGTCTCTGTGTATGTGCTGTACATGTAATGAACAGCTTTTTTATTGAGAAAAGAGAATAAAAAATAATAGTAGTTTTAAAAAAGCCTATTGTATGATTGAATTATGTTTTATTTTAATCACCATAAACAAAATGGGATATGTTTGGAATAATTTTGCATTTAAATGTTTTTAGTGCTCAGCATTTGTAGGTTAGATAAATTTGATATAAAGGCCAGCTTGAACAAGCTTGATATAAAGGCATATATATATATATATATATATATATATATATAACACCATTTAAATGTTATTGTGTGCAGTCTTGCAGATTGGACTTTGACCTTCACCAATGTCACCTTCATGACTGTTCTACTAAGATTTCTGTGTTTACATAGCCTGTCTCTTATGATCAAAACATTATGCAAATTAAATGCTAGAATTGTTTACAGACAATTATTTAAAAACAAATCCAGGAATACAATTCTCAGCCTGACATGTACACCTTTCAGTTATTTTATGAAGTTCATCAGAGCATTATTTTTGGATTTTTAATGGAATCTTTTAGAAATAAGATTTAGCAAATGAAAAAATGGCCTTATTTGGCAGCCAGGTACCCACACAAAAAATCCAGGTCATTTATATATGTGGCCAGTGACCTACTACTTTTTATCCATTCAATTATAAGGTGTGTTTTGTCCTGCTGTACTTACATGCACCTACATATGTTAGTACATGTATATTCACCTGCACTAGCATAGGTATAGCTAGATATACTAAAGTATAGCATTATACTGATCAACATGAGTTTGGCAAGGTGAAAGATGGTATCTCAAGGATATTGTGTCAGTTTCAAGGTGAACTATTTTAATTTTTAATTGGACTTTGGACTATACTTGAACTTAAATTTTGACTATGTAAATTGGATATGAATTAAGGTGTAATCAGCTGGTTGTTTTTGTTGCATTCTGCAAGGTGTGGTCTAAGGTAAGGTTATGGTTTGAAAATATCTCTTGTAAGCAAAGCCTGTTATGTTGTTTTACTCATCAAAGACAAATACAGATGTGCAGTGGATGTTATGTATATAATAGGATAGAAATAAAATTAATTAATAATATGTACAATGTCAATATAGACTGCCTATATAGGAAATTAATTTTTGCCTATATGAAAAAGTGACCTTTTACAGATGAACTAGGTACACAATATATAATGTAGTTCAACTGAGCTTGCATCAAGGAATCATTCCAAAAGGTGTGTTTTGGGTGCTTTTTTCATTGCACTGCAGTTTAAATAGTTTTCCCTCTGTCTGATGTGGTTACATGTTACAGTTTCAGCTGTTACTTTGTATCAATATATATGCATTTAAATGGGTTTTCATATGATTCAAGCGTAAGTACAGCTACATGTAATAAGAACTTGGTCAGTATTTGATGTGTGTATAGATTTAGATATCAGCAGTTAAAATGAATGAGAAACTGCACAATTTTGAATTGCTTGTCTTATTTTGCTGCTTGAGGTCAATTTAAGAAATTTACTTGTGTGGAGTTATTTGCATTATATTAATTAATATCTAATTATCCAAGCAATTTCTGTCAAGATAATATTGATTTCCTTGTGTGGCTTAATTAAGGAGTTGTGTCTTTGATTTTTAGTCTGCATGAGGAATAGTATTCACATTGAGCTAAAATTGTACAAGCATTTATTGACACTATTCTTTGGAATTCAGTCAAAACATTTTGGTTTATTTTCATTTCTTCCCTTTAGATAACATTGCTGACTATTAGATAAAGCATTATGCTGTATCTAGCAGACTGGAATAAATTGCACAACCTTGCGGTTTCTTCCATATTGAACATTTTAGAATGGGAGAAATGCGGTTAAACCTGACACTAATTTGATCACTTGTCTCCCTTATTTCCTTCCCAGCTCAAGCCAAGGCTGTGAAAGAGAGCATTAGAAGAGGCATTACCTCAATTCAGCAGAATGCTGCGCCTGCAAGCTCGCACTGCTCAGATCCGTGTGGCTGCCTCCACACAGTTGACCCCACTGGCTGGACGGGTCAAACCAAAACATGGGTATGCCTTGCCCCAGGGGCTTGCCAGGGCCTACTCTACCCCCATACCCAACCAGAGGCCAGAGGTACAACCCATAGAGAAGTTGATGGTGGCTAATAGAGGTATGGTACCCCAGGTGCCCCATTGTATGCTACATTATTTTACCCATGGATTGACATGTGTATCATTTTGTCAACTGGAAAAAAAAAAAAATATATATATATATATATATATATATATATATATATATATATATATACATATATATACATATATATATATATATATATATATATAATGTGTTGAGCAGTTTCTCTTTTTGGCTTTGAAAATGAAATATCTGCTGTCATGAGACCATGCAGTTACTAAATGAAAAAAAATGTCAGAAACAGATTGTTAAATTAGTTTATAATTTTACTGACTTAAGATTCATTGGGGTGACTTGTCAATTCTTCATTGCCCTAGCTGTAAATTATTATCACTTTAGCATTATAATAATTATATATTGTATGGAACATTTCTGTGTATGTGTGATGTATTCCCATAAGCAAGATATTGACCTGTCCAGTATGATTTGATTTAATGGTTATTCAGACAAGATTCTTCAGTTGAAGTTTTATTGCCTTGACACATTGGCAAGTGTTGGCATACATACATGCATGGTGCATAAGATAAATTGAATACATGCTAAGCATTTATTGACTGGCTGAGGTTGATATCTTGCTCTCGACCTTAGATTTTAATATCACTTTTCTGAGTTTTGCAAAGCAACGTATTGACTGAGAGCAGAAATCTGTAATTGCTGTATAATGTATTTATTCAAAACCTGAATGTCTTTGCCCTCTAGGATAACATCAAATGTTGCAATTGTCATCTAATTGATGATAGCTTTTCCCTTCTCTGATCAATCAATGATGATGTCATCTGTCAATATATGGTGATGGCAACACTGGTCAATGTTGTGTTTTATTAGACCTCAAATCCATTGATATAAGATACTAATTAATGCTACATGCACATTAAGACAATGTACATTAGACTATTAGGTTTGAAGCAAAAATTTAATAATATTTTGTCACAAGAGATCGTTTTTGATTATTTATACTAAATGTCTGAAACTGTGCTGTTAAAATCTACAAAAAAAATCAAAAATGGACAGTACTATTATCTCCATTTTGATGCTCACTAGAAGTATCAAAGTCAAAATCTGACACCATGGTTTTTTTCCCATGCTTTTCATCAATCACCAGGCCCATAAAGTTACTTGGAAAGCCAATTTAAGTTACACGTATAAAATAAATGTATTTTTAAAACTCAACATGATACATGGAAGCTGTACATAAATGCAATTATGGAATACAATAACATTCCATAAAAGGTATGTAGTGCATCTTTTTGGTCAGTTTTTCTTTTCCAGTAGTGAAATAAATTCACAGATAAAAATCATTATGTAAGTTTCTCTCTTTACACATAATACTTAATTTTCATACCTTTCTTCAAGATCTTTTTCCAGCGACCTTCCTCACTGCCGACAGATTGTTTGAGTTCTTCTGTTCTAGTCTTTTGCCACTGTCTGGATTTTTCTGAGCAGAAAGGCTGCTGTTTTCTTTTTAGCTCTCAGAACCATGTTCACCAGACCTCTGCATCACCTTCTTAGAGCAATTGTTACATCTGCTGCTTAGATATATCTGCGGCGTAGATATATATCTATATACTTCTTTATTCATGAGTAACTTGCAAGATTTTATGAAACTCTGGAAAGGGTGCTGGATATGGAAGCTGAAAATTTCAAATGAGGTTAGCCAAAATTTAAATATAGAACTAAAAAAAAAAAAACTATTTATTGAATGGTTCTAAATAGGGTATACCTTGGTGATTATGAAAAACTCATGAAGTATCTTGGAAAAAAATTTTTTTTTTATTTCGCCATATTAAGCTCTAAATGCACATTGTTTGTCTGTAAAATTTATGTAATCATTTTCATTTTTGAAAACCCATCAAATGTTTTTATCTTTTACAGAATGTTGAACCACACAGTCCATAAATGAAAAAATTAATTGATGAGTTGAGACTTGTTAGACAAAAAATCCCATTGGTTTTATCCAGTGTATAATGAGTGAAAACTGTCCAGGTTTCTTCTCTATAAGAGTAAAAAAGGAGCACGTAAAACTAAAAGGTATCACGGCTTGTACATAAAATGTCACCAGTAACACCACCATTTTTATGATCTGGCTGGAGTTATCACATGTAGAATTGGTCATTGTCAGTCGCATTTTAGCTTGTCTCCTCAAGGACTGAATAAGCTTCACATAAAGAATAACCATGAATCCAGTTAGTAAAGTATTAATAATGAAAGGAAACACCTTGCGGTAAATAGTTTTGTAACCATTGGCCCATTCCTTCAACTGAACAACTTAGCAAAAGTCATTTGAGCTGTGTTTACAAGGAATAAATCCAACAAATTCAGTATCAAAAAACTTTGGAAGGTGATACAAAGCAATCACTGTCAGTAATACGTATGTCCGCCATCGCCATTTTGTTACCTTTCGAAACTCTATGCTTTTTACAGGTTTGTTTATCACAAGATAACGGTCAAATGCCACAAAAATTAGCAGCCAATGTGAAGAAAGTCTTGCAAACAGCATGATTGGCCAAATATAAACAGTGGTTGTCTGCATTGCAACAAAGAACCAGTCAATCCATCCCAAATAAACGTGCAAAGCAGGTAGATTGTTGGTAAATATTGCTGTGATTAAAAAGATGTTATCCATGATCGCAGTCCAGGATAGTAGATAATCAGTGGATGTATTTGCTCTCTCCTTGTAAAATACTATGAAAGACAGAGTGTTACAAATCAATCTGAGTAGGCTGACGACCAGTGATGCAAATCCTAGATCAACGGTGAGGTACAAGTTTGAGGCTGTTTGGTGAGAGTTGGTACTGTTCATCATTGTACTGTTCAATATATTTGTTGTTAAATTTAATTCATCTGTATCACCAGAAAAAGCTTTCATAATGCCTCAATGTGTAGTTGAAAATAAAATCTTGAACAAATAAGAAGCTGTCTGAATGATGACGATACTCATGAAGTTGGGCCTTTATATCACAGAATTTGGCCATGTCCATAACCAATCAGAGACCGAAATGTACCTTATTTGATTTTGACAGTAACTAGGATTCCAATTTTGCTTGACACATGCATGGATGAGAGGATATAAAATGATACGAAAGGAGACAATGACAACGGCAATGTAGAAGAATAACAAAGTCTCAGCTTTAACTAGTGTGACAAAAGACCATGCACAGAATAATGAAAATTAAGAAAATGAATGAAAAGGAGCATATCTTATTGAAACAATAAAGGAATGGATACCAGGTCTATTCATGTCACCTTTTTGACTGAATAATAACTCTTTGTGTTAAACCATCACGTTGGTTTAATCTATACCTATTGAGAAATCTGATTTCAGAAACAATATACGGATCTATCTTCTCTTTTTTTCTAAAAATATGTTGTTGTGCAACTAAAGTTAAAAAAGGACAAACACTGACTCATTAACTTCGATTTTATTTTAACATTAACAAATTTGCCAATTATTTTTCTTTGATTAATTCATATTTTTCTTTGGTATAAATGAAAACAAAGACTAAAAAACTTGTTTTGATAACTTTTAATGACATCTTCAGTGTCATTGTGACATAGTTCCATAATCCAATTCATCTATAGAGCATTACTAAAAACATGGTTTATTTTAAATAAGAAAATAGCCACTCAATGCATCATTTATATATGGATAGGGTATACCCAAATGATTATGGGGAAATTATTTAAGTTATAATTTATTTTGCTATATAAAGCTCTAAGGCTTGTTGTTTATCTTTAAGTTATTATTTTGCTGATAATCTTGTAGTAGTTTCTTAATGACTTCAAAAGTATTGTTTATGAAAGTGTTTGTTTAATTTTGTAAATATAAAAATTGTGATTATTGTAATTTGTGTGTTCTGAGAATATTTTCATTTTTTTTCTGAAATTTATTTGTTTCAAATTATCAGCATTTTTAACCAAAGATTTTATCTTATCATAGATGAAGGAGCATTATAATAATTGAAGACATGTTAGGATCAAACAATGATTTTCAAGGCAAATTATCAATTACTATATTCATCTTATTTGTTATCTTGCTTTTGGCGATATTTCAGTCTGCCTTTTTAGCTTATCATAAAACGCTGAACAGCACTATCTTCACTCTACATCTTTTCAAAGTAAGATTAATGAATGATTTAATTTTTGACTAAACTTAAATTTTGTGCTATAGGTGAGATTGCCATCCGTGTCTTCAGAGCCTGTCATGAGATGAAGATTCGCACAGTGGCTGTCTACTCGGAGCAAGATACGATGCACATTCACAGACAGAAGGCGGACGAGGCATACCTCATAGGGAAAGGTCTTCCACCTGTGGCATCCTATCTGAACATACCTGAAATAATACAGGTTGCCAAGGTATAAGGAAATGTTACAAAATGTAACTTTAAGGGTGTAACTTTGATTAGAAATAGAAATGTGCAAGTGGTGGGGTCAAACTTAGAAATTGCTCTATGTCAGAAGTAGTGCTCTCTGTGCTCTAGCATGTTGATATCTTTTAGCAACTCTTAATGTCATTGATGCTGATAATGTTACAAGTATTATAAATGATGAAATTAATGAATGTTGGAAATTTTAAAAACTGACATTTTTCATTTATCAACAAACATGAATTTGAAAATTTTTCATAACAGGTAAAGCTTATTTTCATGTTTTAAGGAAAACAATGTAGATGCTATCCATCCAGGCTATGGGTTCCTCTCAGAGAGGGCAGATTTTGCTAAAGCTTGTGAAGTAAATGACATCAAGTTTGTTGGACCACCTTCAGAAATTGTGAGGAAGATGGGAGACAAAGTGGAGGCTAGGCAGGCTGCCATTGATGCAGGTACAGTGATAAGGTCTAGAAAATTGACTAAAAGGGTTTAAAATACAGCAAGTCATTCTTTTAATTTCAGTAGAGGTCCAGTCTTTATGGATTATTTGCAAAAGTTTTTTCAGAGTAGACAACTATACATTTCTTTTTCATAGTCATTTTAAATCAGTACCACCCCATTTCAAATCTTTTTTTTTTTTTTTTGACAATAACAGGATAGACTAAAGATTTTCACATTTTGGAGGAAAAAAAAAAGAAATGAGAACATCCCTGCAGATTTAATTGCATAGGTTCATAAAGATCCAATATGATTTGTTGCAGGCGTTCAGGTAGTCCCTGGCACAGCTCAGGCAATCCAGACTGCTGAGGAAGCCCTGGAGTTCTGTCATATCCATGGCTGTCCTGTGATCTTCAAGGCAGCTTATGGAGGGGGAGGCAGAGGAATGAGGATGGTCAGAGATATCAAAGTGAGTTAAGTGGATAAAATTTGGATCAGACCAGTTGTTTTCATCAATTTTGTATGTAGAATTTGGAATTGGTTAGGGGTAGCAGTATTAGTTTATATAGCCTATGATGTGGATAGTTGATATTAAGCTGAATGGGTTTTTAGCTGTGGGAAGTGAGCTGAGTCATGAAAATTTTGAATTAATTTTTTTCGAGCTTACATATGCATTGAATTTATTTGGCGGAAGTCTTTACATATTTTATTAGCACAGGACTTTGGTCAGCATATGCATTTTATATGCAAGGTTGTGATTAATGTAAATATTCCGAAAGGGAAATTTGTATATTTAACTGAAAGTCATCTTTGAATCATGATGAGTATCAGGTACTTATTTTCCCCATAGGATGTGGAAGAAAGCTTTAACCGTGCAAGATCAGAGGCAGAGGCTGCTTTTGGAGATGGCTCACTGTTTTTAGAAAAGTTCATTGAGAGACCAAGACATATTGAAGTGCAAATTCTAGGTATTTCTGGATTTGTAAAAAAAAAATTATAAAGAAAGAAATATTCTTTGTCAATTATTGAGCTTTGAAGTGTGGCAGCTAGGGTGAATGTAGTTTTAGTCTATAAAGATGTGTCATAGAGAAAAAGTATTCTTCAGCAAAATGGAGATTAAAAAATAGCAGTGCCTTCTCATTTTTTCTTTGAATTATAAGTACTTTTATATACTTTTTCATCAGGGGACAAAGACGGAAATGTAATTCATCTGTATGAGAGAGACTGCTCAGTCCAGCGTAGGCATCAAAAAGTTGTGGAGATTGCCCCAGCTCCATGGCTCAACAGTGAAATCCGTAACAAGATGACAGCAGATGCTGTAAAACTTGCTCAATATGTGGGTTATGAGAACGCTGGCACTGTGGAATTCCTACTGGATCAGCATGGAAATTACTACTTCATTGAGGTTAATGCCAGACTGCAAGTGGAACATACTGTGACGGAAGAAGTCACAGGGTGAGATGCTAGATTGGTGATATTATAATGTGATATGATATTTGTTTAAAGGGATAATTCTTGTTGTTACAGTAAAAAAGCTTTTCTGGTCTTATCGAAGACTTGGTGAATAAATTTTAGGCTATAGGAACTCTTTTGAGTTGCCCAAACTGTAGCCCCAACTTTGCTACTATGGATAAATATGTACATTTGAATACCAGTTCTTTTTATTTAGCATATTCATAAGTTGATTGCCATTACATTACATTACATTACATTACATTACATTACATTACATTACATGTGCTCCCAGTCATTTTCATAAGAATCTGTGTTAATGAGTTTGTGTACAATATTTCCCATGCAAATTTTATTAGTTAAGTAATGGTGACAAAAAAATTGGACTGAGGTTCATGAAATAGTCACTGTTCTTATGATTGTGATAATGAGGTGACATCAGTTGGGTTAATTTCCAAATTATTTTTCAGGTTGGATTTAGTGCAATCTCAGATCAGGATAGCTGAAGGGTTCTTGCTGCCGGAGCTGAAGATGAAGCAAGAGGACATTGTGCTCAATGGAAGCTCTATACAGTGCAGAATGACCACTGAAGATCCAGCCAAGGGATTCCAGCCAGACACTGGAAGAATTGAGGTCTCCTCTCATGAATTTTATAAAAATCAGCTGTATTCTCTTAACTTATATAAGCCCATGTGAAATTTCACTTCAAATACAGTCTCTGTTCCACTGTTCCTTTGTTGCAGAATTTCTAAATTGAAGATCAATTTCCATGTACTTTTAATGAACGGGAAATTGTACATACTTATGTCATTATAATGTGTACTATTGACCTGACAAAAAATGTAATTTTATTTTGTTTTGTCATTTTTCTGAGTATAGTTAACCTTTTCATGAATTTTATATTATGTCAAAAATGTAATTATAATTTACTAAGATCTTCACAACCTAACTATGTGATGTGGTATATTTCATTTAGCAGCCAGATCATGATTCATTTTGTGAACTTATTGCACAGTCTTTTTCTTTTGCCAGGTTTTCCGCAGTGGAGAAGGCATGGGTATCAGGTTAGACAGTGCACTTGCCTATGCGGGGGCCATCATCTCTCCATATTATGACTCTCTGCTGGTGAAGGTGATTTCTCATGCACGCACCCACCAAGATGCATGTGCCAAGATGGTACGTGCTCTGACCGAGTTCAGGATTAGAGGAGTTAAGGTGAGAAAATTTGACAACTGAAAGTGAGTTGGATTCACACTGTCTGTGGTTTTTGTGTAAATAAGCTTTGTGTTAGCCAGCCAAATGAAAAATTACAGCCAAAACTTCATGTTTAGCCAAGAAAATTTGAAAAAATTAAATTAAAGCCAAACTTTACCATACATGTATGTCTAGTGCACATTGAGTGTTCTGTAAATCTGTTTTGATTAAAATGGGGCTAAACAAAGATCTGAAGAATACCTTGTTCATTTTTTTTAAGACCAACACACCGTTCTTGCTCAATGTCCTCCAAAATACAAAGTTCCTGGAAGGTGCTGTGGATACTTACTTCATAGATGAACATCCAGATCTCTTCAAGCTGAAACCCAGCCAGAACCGTGCGCAGAAGCTGCTCCGCTACCTGGCCGATGTGATGGTGAACGGCCCCCTCACTCCGCTAGCAACTGGGCTTCAGCCTGCAGAGATTGTACCAACTGTGCCGCATGTGCCTTTTGGTAAGACTGTGAAAGATTTGGTTTCTTTTATCAATTTTTATTATGTTTTTTATCATTGGAAAGAGTTAAATCCTTTACCAACAAATGTCTGTTAAGTCGTGTCCCTGAACATTTATTTATTATTTTTCTGTAAGTTCACTTATTCAGTTATACTTTTAATGATTACTCATTCATTTCTTTTACGCTATATCTTCAAGGTGATTCTTGCTTTAGCGTAGTTTTATCTAAAGCTCTGTTAGTTCAAATATTGGTGTGAAGTATGACAATAAGATAAGGGTGCTTTTTTTTTTTTTTTTTTGTAGGACCTTTTGATCATCACTGTAAGAAAGAAGTGTGATTTGTGTTTGTTAACAACTAATTGATATTTTTTTTAATGAAAAATTGATGAATAACAGATGGAGATGACCTGGTGTTCCTGTGTTTATGCAGCTATTTTAATGCCAAAAATAGCTTTTTGGATTTTACCATTGCTGCTTTAAATACTTGGTGCATTGCTTAATACCTGCATGTATTGCATTACGACATTACAGTGTATCAGTGCTCCTTTTTTTTCCATATTTTCATCATTTAATGATACATGAACAAGTTGTAGGAAAGTTATTAATACTTTTATTCCAGGCTATTCAGGATTTTTTTTCTTTCCCAATTAACTTTCTTTCTTTTTTTCATAGTACTTTTATGGCCATATCGTTTATTGGAATCATATCTTTAAACCTTTGTACTTAAAATTTTTTTTGTGCAGGTACAACAACAACCCAGGGTAACTATGTTTTCAATTTTTGATTTTTTTAACATTGTAAATCACTTGTTTAACAAAAAGTGGTGTCACTCATTTTGTCGTTAAATGTATAGTAATATGCTGTATGTTCTGTAGAAGCCCTACAATTTTCGCATTATACCCATGTATTATGAAATATGCGGTGTGCTTTGAAATGAATTGCACTTGCGAAGAAACATCTTTTTATGTACAGACACAGATGTGTCTGTACATATTGCCATCACCTGTGTCTGTCGTCGCCGTCGCCGTCGTCGCTGTCGCCGTCGCTGTCGTCGCCGTGCACTTTCCTTGTAAACACGATAAGTGGAAGACAGTTTTACTTTTTGGCTTTATATTTACAGAGCTGATGAATATTCATAAAATGTAGGTCAAGTTCGAAAATCAGCATGATCGGGCCATTATTGTAGAAGTTATGCTGTATTTTCACTTTTCAGCATATATGCAACACTGTAAACACATTTCAACAAAAATCGATAGGCCTGTTGTCATGAAACTCTCAGGAGTAATCGATTCCAAAAATCGACATGCAGCCCGAGTTGGAAAAGCAGTCTAATTGGCTTCCTTTTCTGGAAGTTATGCATTTTCAAAGTGTGAACTTGAACTCCCATGGGCCTGAAGCCTTATGCTTGTTACACATTTAACTTACGTTGGTATTACCTGTTGAGCATAATTAAAATTTGATGTTGAATTTGCAGCTTAACATAATGTATTTTTGCATCAGAATTGACAGTAGCCTTTTTTGTTATTTCCTGCTTTTTGTCTGTACATTTGACAGCTTTGCTGCCTTGTTTAAAGATCTTGCATCTTAATGGTAAATACTTGGATATACAAACCTATAATTTAAGAAAAATAGAAAGTCTGGAGAAGGAGGAGTTAAACTGAAACTGTTTGAATTAACGGAAATTGAAGCATTGCAACCTTAAAGCAAGGTGTTGTGAACTGGAAGCATTGCAAATTTAACGCTAGGTGTTAAGATAGATGGGACCCCCATGTATATGTTAGATGGCTTTATTGGGTTATAATTGTGTTTCACATACCTTCTTTTCATTAGTTGTTTTTATTGCGGGCTGACTGGCTGGCTTTATGCTTTCAATATAAAACCACTTTTGGGTTTGCTGACCTTGCTGCTAAGTATTAATGAAAACGCATCACCTTTCAGTATTTATAGTAAATGTAACTTTTGTTTCAGGTGATGGCATGTGCTTGACTTCTTTTTCATAAAGATAGTTCATATTCATATTTTAGCTTTTTTTACAAGTTGTTGTATTTATGTACAAGCCTTGGGTAGATAAAAACATATGCATTATTTAGTTGTTTTCATTGTTTCATTTCTGGCTCATTTAATATTGTATGTAGGGCATTAAAAACTGCCTACAGGCTTTTGGCTGTTTTGATAATCATTATTACTCATTATTACTCATTATTATCATTCCCATAGATTAAGAGCTATTTTATGTCTGGTTTTTTCAGATTATAAAAGTAATTATAACTGAAGGATTCCTTTTTGGTGACTTAAGTCTATAAAAAATGCGGAAAAAATGTGATATTTAACCTCCTTTTACCATAATTTATTTATTACTAAACAATTGTTGCATAAAAAAAGAGAGAAAAAAAGAAATTGAAAGAGAGTAATAACCATTTAAGAATATCAAAATCACTTCTTTGTTTCTTAAAGCACTAGCATTAAAAGTTTATGTAATGTTTCAGATGTCAAGCATCCCAAAGGCTGGAAGAATGTTCTAGACAAAGAAGGACCCAGTGGCTTGGCAAAAGCAATCAGAAATCACAAAGGTCTTCTGCTTATGGACACCACGTACAGGGACGCCCACCAGTCCCTACTGGCTACTAGAGTTAGGACTTACGACATGAAGAGAATCTCTCCGTACACTTCTCACCATCTCAGCAATTTGTTTGCTTTAGAGAACTGGGGAGGTTAGTTTGTTGAATTTTTTTTCACATATCTTGATTTAATGGAAGAAAGCTTTTACATTTCTGTTTTCAGCAAAACTTTATATTTTACGTAATAATAAAAACAGACTGCATATCAGCAAATGAAAGATTACTTAGAGAATTCTGCTGCAGTTTGGAATTTTGAATACATTTTATGAAATTATTTTATCAAAATAGTAAAAAGTCTGATAGTGATCTGGTTAGGGAATTTCTCCACTCAGAGGTGATCAGTTGTAAAACATCTTTATATACTGATAGTTTAACCCTTACTCTTCAGTTAGTGCACTCAATTTTTAAGAACCCTTACTTTTAATATCTTAACCTTTTTTCCACATTTATAAACATTTTGTAATAGAAAACATGAACCGCTCCTTTCCATTTTTGTCTACAGGTAATTGTCAGCATTTTTTATGCAAAAGAGTGTAAATAGAGCTGTATTTGAGAGACTGTCTTATGGAAGGTNACTAGATTGGTGATATTATAATGTGATATGATATTTGTTTTAAGGGATAATTCTTGTTGTTACAGTAAAAAAGCTTTTCTGGTCTTATCGAAGACTTGGTGAATAAATTTTAGGCTATAGGAACTCTTTTGAGTTTCTGTAGCCCCAACTTTGCTACTATGGATAAATATGTACATTTGAATACCAGTTCTTTTTATTTAGCATATTCATAAGTTGATTGCCATTACATTACATTACATTACATTACATTACATTACATTACATTACATTACATTACATGTGCTCCCAGTCATTTTCATAAGAATCTGTGTTAATGAGTTTGTGTACAATATTTCCCATGCAAATTTTATTAGTTAAGTAATGGTGACAAAAAAATTGGACTGAGGTTCATAAAAAAGTCACTGTTCTTATGATTGTGATAATGAGGTGACATCAGTTGGGTTAATTTCCAAATTATTTTTCAGGTTGGATTTAGTGCAATCTCAGATCAGGATAGCTGAAGGGTTCTTGCTGCCGGAGCTGAAGATGAAGCAAGAGGACATTGTGCTCAATGGAAGCTCTATACAGTGCAGAATGACCACTGAAGATCCAGCCAAGGGATTCCAGCCAGACACTGGAAGAATTGAGGTCTCCTCTCATGAATTTTATAAAAATCAGCTGTATTCTCTTAACTTATATAAGCCCATGTGAAATTTCACTTCAAATACAGTCTCTGTTCCACTGTTCCTTTGTTGCAGAATTTCTAAATTGAAGATCAATTTCCATGTACTTTTAATGAACGGGACTTTCATTGTACATACTTATGTCATTATAATGTGTACTCTTGACCTGACAAAAAATGTAATTTTATTTTGTTTTGTCATTTTTGTGAGTATAGTTAACCTTTTCATGAATTTTATATTATGTCAAAAATGTAATTATAATTTACTAAGATCTTCACAACCTAACTATGTGATGTGGCATATCTCATTCAGCAGCCAGATCATGATTCATATTGTGAACTTATTTCACAGTCTTTTTCTTTTGCCAGGTTTTCCGCAGTGGAGAAGGCATGGGTATCAGGTTAGACAGTGCACTTGCCTATGCCGGGGCCATCATCTCTCCATATTATGACTCCCTGCTGGTGAAGGTGATTTCTCATGCACGCACCCACCAAGATGCATGTGCCAAGATGGTACGTGCTCTGACCGAGTTCAGGATTAGAGGAGTTAAGGTGAGAAAATTTAACAATTGAAAGTGAGTTGGATTCACACTGTCCATGGTTTTTGTGTAAATGGGCTTTGTGTTAGCCAGCCAAATGAAAAATTACAGCCAAAACTTCATGTTTAGCCAAGACAATTTGAAAAAAAAAAATTAAAGCCAAACTTTACCATACATGTATGTCTAGTGCACATTGAGTGTTCTGTAAATCTGTTTTGATTAAAATGGGGCTGTACAAAGATCTGAAGAATACCTTGTTCATTTTTTTTTAAGACCAACACACCGTTCTTGCTCAATGTCCTCCAAAATACAAAGTTCCTGGAAGGTGCTGTGGATACTTACTTCATAGATGAACATCCAGATCTCTTCAAGCTGAAACCCAGCCAGAACCGTGCGCAGAAGCTGCTCCGCTACCTGGCCGATGTGATGGTGAACGGCCCCCTCACTCCGCTAGCAACTGGGCTTCAGCCTGCAGAGATTGTGCCAACTGTGCCGCATGTGCCTTTTGGTAAGACTGTGAAAGATTTGGTTTCTTTTATCAATTTTTATTATGTTTTTTATCATTGGAAAGAGTTTAATCCTATACCAACAAATGTCTGTTAAGTCGTGTCCCTGAACATTTATTTATTATTTTTCTGTAAGTTCACTTATTCAGTTATACTTTTAATGATTACTCATTCATTTCTTTTACGCTATATCTTCAAGGTGATTCTTGCTTTAGCGTAGTTTTATCTAAAGCTCTGTTAGTTCAAATATTGGTGTGAAGTATGACAATAAGATAAGGGTGCTTTTTTTTTTGTAGGACCTTTTGATCATCACTGTAAGAGAGAAGTTTGATTTGTGTTTGTTAACAAATAATTGATTTTTTTTAATGAAAAATTGATGAATAACAGATGGAGATGACCTGGTGTTCCTGTGTTTATGCAGCTATTTTAATGCCAAAAATAGCTTTTTGGATTTTACCATTGCTGCTTTAAATACTTGGTGCATTGCTTAATACCTGCATGTATTGCATTACGATATTACAGTGTATCAGTGCTCCTTTTTTTCCATATTTTTATCATTTAATGGTACATGAACAAGTTGTAGGAAAGTTATTAATACTTTTATTTCAGGCTATTCAGGAATTTTTTTCTTTCCCAATTAACTTTCTTTCTTTTTTTCATAGTACTTTTATGGCCATATCGTTTATTGGAATCATATCTTTAAACCTTTGTGCTTAAATTTTTTTTGTGCAGGTACAACAACAACCCAGGGTAACTATGTTTTCAATTTTTGATTTTTTTAACATTGTAAATCACTTGTTTAACAAAAAGTGGTGTCACTCATTTTGTCCTTAAATGTATAGTAATATGCTGTATGTTCTGTAGAAGCCCTACAATTTTCGCATTATACCCATGTATTATGAAATATGCGGTGTGCTTTGAAATGAATTGCACTTGCGAAGAAACATCTTTTTTAAAGATCTTGCATCTTAATGGTAAATACTTGGATATACAAACCTATAATTTAAGAAAAATAGAAAGTCTGGAGAAGGAGGAGTTAAACTGAAAACTGTTTGAATTAACGGAAATTGAAGCATTGCAACCTTAAAGCAAGGTGTTGTGAACTGGAAGCATTGCAAATTTAACGCTAGGTGTTAAGATAGATGGGACCCCCATGTATATGTTAGATGGCTTTATTGGGTTATAATTGTGTTTCACATACCTTCTTTTCGTTAGTTTTTTTTTTATTGCGGGCTGACTGGCTGGCTTTATGCTTTCAATATAAAACCACTTTTGGGTTTGCTGACCTTGCTGCTAAGTATTAATGAAAACGCATCACCTTTCAGTATTTATAGTAAATGTAACTTTTGTTTCAGGTGATGGCATGTGCTTGACTTCTTTTTCATATTGATAGTGCATATTCATATTTTAGCTTATTACAAGTTGTTGTATTTATGTACAAGCCTTGGGTAGATAAAAACATATGCATTATTTAGTTGTTTTCATTGTTTCATTTCTGCTTCATTTAATATTGTATGTAGGGCATTAAAAACTGCCTACAGACTTTTGGCTGTTTTGATAATCATTATTACACAGTATCATTCCCATAGATTAAGAGCTATTTTATGTCTGGTTTCTGCAGATTATAAAAGTAATAGTAACTGAAGGATTCCTTTTTGGTGACTTAAGTCTATAAAAAATGAGGAAAAAATGTGATATTTAACCTCCTTTTACCATAATTTATTTATTACTAAACAATTTTGTTGCATATAAAACGAGAGAAAAAAAAGAAATTGAAAGAGAGTTATAACCATTTAAGAATATCAAAATCACTTCTTTGTTTCTTAAAGCACTAGCATTAAAAGTATATGTAATGTTTCAGATGTCAAGCATCCCAAAGGCTGGAAGAATGTTCTAGACAAAGAAGGACCCAGTGGTTTGGCAAAAGCAATCAGAAATCACAAAGGTCTTCTGCTTATGGACACCACATACAGGGACGCCCACCAGTCCCTACTGGCTACTAGAGTTAGGACTTACGACATGAAGAGAATCTCTCCGTACACTTCTCACCATCTCAGCAATTTGTTTGCTTTAGAGAACTGGGGAGGTTAGTTTGTTGAAGCCTTGTTGAATTTTTTTCACATATCTTGATTTAATGGAAGAAAGCTTTTACATTTCTGTTTTCAGCAAAACTTTATATTTTACGTAATAATAAAAACAGACTGCATATCACCAAATGAAAGATTACTTAGAGAATTCTGCTGCAGTTTGGAATTTTGAATACATTTTATGAAATTATTTTATTAAAATAGGAAAAAGTCTGATAGTGGTCTGGTTATGGTATTTCTCCACTCAGAGGTGATCAGTTGTAAAACATCTTTATATACTGATAGTTTAACCCTTACTCTTCAGTTAGTGCACTCAATTTTTAAGAACCCTTACTTTTAATATCTTAACCTTTTTTCCACATTTATAAACATTTTGTAATAGAAAACATGAACCGCTCCTTTCCATTTTTGTCTACAGGTAATTGTCAGCATTTTTTATGCAAAAGAGTGTAAATAGAGCTGTATTTGAGAGACTGTCTTATGGAAGATTTTTTACACAGTTTAGAGTGCACTGAATCTAGAGAATGTGGTCTTTGTTTCAGGTGCCACATTTGATGTGGCTATGAGGTTTCTTCATGAATGTCCATGGGAACGGCTGGAAGAGCTGCGACAGCTTATCCCTAATATCCCCTTCCAGATGCTACTACGAGGTGCTAATGCTGTGGGCTATACCAGCTACCCAGATAATGTGGTTTACAAGTGAGTATACCAATAATGTGGTCTACAAGTGAGTATACCAAATATGTGGTCTACAAATTAGTATACCCCTGATGTGGTCTACAAGTGAGTATCACTTTAATGTGGTCTACAAGTGAGTGTATGGATAATGTGATCCACAAGTGAGTTTTCTGATTATTTTATGCCTTTGTTGTATGGTGTTGTAATTATATGGAGAATTTAGAACGTTGGTTTGTATGAGCATTAGGTGCTACATTAAACGAACAATGTGATACTGTTCTATTTTGTAGTTATCACCTTTTCAAACAGCTGCCATATTTAAAAAGTTGTAAGAAATTAAGTCCCAGTTTAAAGATTTCCACTTTCATTTTACATAGAATAAAAGATCCAATTTTTCCCAACTTTAGGTTTTGCGATCTTGCTGTTCAGTGTGGCATGGACATATTCAGAGTGTTTGATTCTCTGAACTATGTTCCCAATTTAATTCTTGGCATGGAAGCTTCAGCAAAAGCAGGTGAAAGACTGCATGTGTTTTGATTCAGTAATTGATAAAATTTAAGAGATAAGCAAATGTGAAAAAAAGTTATTTCTACTTTATAAGTTGGTTTTAACTTCAAAATAAGGACATTTTGTTAAAAAATGTCAATGAAAAAGTTTTTAGTTCTGGAACATGATATTATTGGTGCACAAAAATTTCCAAAAACATCTAACATTTAAAGCTTTTAAATATATCAAACAGAGTAAGGTTACCCTAATGTATTTTATCTCTGCATTAAGGTGGAGTGGTGGAGGCAGCCATATGCTATACAGGAGATGTCACTAAACCTGGAACTAAGTATGATCTGGATTACTACCTGACCTTGGCAGATGACCTGGTCAAGGGAGGGACACATATTCTAGGAATAAAGGCAATATTTCATTACCCTTTTTTTTTTTGTGATCTCTAAAATAAATTTATATATATATAAGTATCAAATATGGTACTTACTTTTCAATTTGCAATTTAGTATTATTTTGTTCCTGTTGCAATGAATACCTGTATGAAATTATTGAAATATAGATTTTTGAAAATCTCTTGATTGATTTTATTTGTATACATAATAAAGCAACACCAACTGTTTAGGTTATTGTATTGGTTATTTCTGTGTGGTATATGTTGATGTGTACTGTAGAGTGACAATTGATTACACATAGTCTCCTCATTTACTGAAATATTTTTTAATATCTTCTCCAGGACATGGCAGGTCTTCTCAAGCCAAATGCATCAAAGCTTTTGATTGGCTCCCTGAGAGAGAGATTCCCAGACATGCCCATCCATGTTCACACACATGACACTGCAGGTGCTGGTGTGGCATCCATGTTGGCAGCTGCACAAGCAGGAGCTGATATCGTTGATGTGGCTGTGGATTCTCTCTCAGGACTAACTTCTCAGCCGAGCATGGGTGCAATTGTGGCTGCTGTGGAAAATACAGAATTGGATACTGGTATGTACATTTAAGTCTCTAACTTTAATTTCTTATCTATTTCTCATATACTTGTGCCTAAGTTGTACCCAGTACATAATAATAATAACAAAGAGCATTGCTTAAAACGTATATTACTGTCAATATTCTAATGCTGAAGGTGGTACAAGTATGTCCCATTTGCATTCTTAAGTATTTTTAACAGTATCTATAGCAAACACTTTATGACCTTATTTTAAGCTGACATGACGAGTATTAATTGAAACCATTGTACATTATTCATTACATCACATTTGGCAAATGTATGAGTATTAAACATTTTAAAAAAAGGAGAAAAGATGACAAATTGTAATAAAAAGAATCTTTAATATTTCAAAATATTTTCTCAGAGAGTTGAAAATTATAGATACCAGAAATGTTAATGTCTGGGTACATGTGAATATATTTCCATTTTGGTAGAAACATGAATTGCTCTTAAATTTATATCTTAGCATTAAATTACTGTACTTACTCTCTCTCCCTCTTTTTCTCTCTGTATACGTGTACTATTGTTAATACTAGGTATAAAACTGGATAATGTGTTTGACTACTCTGCGTACTGGGCTCAGGCCAGGCAGCTGTATGCTCCATTTGAATGCTGTACAACTCTGAAGAGCTCAAATGCTGATGTCTACTTGAATGAGATCCCAGGTAAGAAAACACTCACAATGATTTGTGACCAGCTTAATATCAGATTAAAAAATTTAAACATTGCATAGTGCTTATTGTTTATGATGATGTAAGAAATAGAAATTGTTTCATTTTTAAAATTTCATAAAGTGAATATTTTTCCCACTAATGAAATGTTTTTGATGTATGCTTGAATTGTACATAGTCATATTTTTCGAAGATCTCCTCACCTTTCAATGATTTACAATCCATTGTCTTTTTACAGGAGGCCAGTACACCAATATTCAGTTCCAGGCCTACAGCCTTGGACTAGCTGACCAGTTTGAGGAGGTGAAGAAAAAATATGCTGAGGCCAACCAGCTTTTAGGAGACATAATCAAGGTGCAGTGAAATTCATGATCGACACTTTTAATATAATACAATTTTAAGCAGACGTCGGGGTTCAAGACTTCAGAGACCTCTGGTGGAATATTGACCAGAGGCAAATATGTGCTAAAGAAGCATATGCTCGTAAATGGGACAAACTGCATTATTGGCTCTGTCTTAATTCGGTCAATGACACATCCATGCAATGATAGATGTAGAATACCTTCATCACATAAATTGTCTATACACTTCCTAAAATTCCTTCATGTATTTTAGGTGACTCCATCCTCTAAGGTTGTGGGAGATTTAGCTCAGTTTATGGTGCAGAATAAGCTTACCGGGCAGATGGTAAAGGACAGAGCAGAAGAACTGGCGTTCCCTAACTCTGTTATACAGTATCTGCAGGGCTACATTGGAGAACCACCATTTGGATTTCCAGAACCTCTGAGGAGTAAGGTAATTTAGAAGGACATTTGGTAGATGGTTCCTGCATTAATTGAAGGATATGGTAGTTAAAAGATAACAGTTACTTATATGTTTTAGTGGCCAAATATTATAATACCCTCACAATTTTCCCTAAAAATTAATATTATGTTTACCTTTTTAACTGTGAAAATTTTGGCTGTTTTGTGGGAAATTTTAGAATGCTATGGTTCACAGTGAAGACAAACGCTGGAAATCTCCTATCTAAGATAATAACATTATTTTGTCTTTTTAATTATTACCCTTGAGGCCACACTGGGAATATTAATCACAATATTTTATTTCAGGTGTTAAAAGATAAACCAAGAATTAAAGGCAGGCCAGGGGAATCTTTGCCAGACATGGACTTTGATCAATTACATTCACAGTTGGTTGAAAGACATGGAAAGAATGTCACAGATAAAGAAGTGATGAGCGCTGCCCTCTATCCTAAAGTTACTGAAGAATACCTAGAATTCAAGGAAACATATGGCCCGGTACAAAGACTGGAAAGCAAATTATTCTTCACAGGACCTCTCATTGGGCAAGAAATCCAGGTATGAGAAAGGTGCTTTTGCAGCAAATGACTTGAGCAGTGCAAGATTAGTTCAGTAACTGTTGAATTTATATTTGGATAGAGTAATCTGTTAGATTGTATGTACGTATAAGTTTTATGCAGGTCGACTCACAGGCACTGTTGGTATGCATGTAAGTATTACTATGAATCGTCAAATGTTGCCCTTCTTTATCATTACATGTATATGATTGAAAAATATAATAACAGACCACACCTGAGTCAAATCAGAGTGTATTAATTGAAACCAACCATATTGTTTTAGGTGGAAATTGAGAAGGGAAAAACCTTGCACATCAAGACCTTGGCAGTGTCTGAGAAACTGACCAAGACTGGAGAAAGAGAGGTGTTCTTTGAGCTCAATGGACAGTTAAGATCTGTTCTAGTCAAAGATCTGGAAGCTATGAAGGTATGTCTGTTTTCATTAACCCATATAGGGATTATTTCAGAGACTACACTAAAATGGGTTTTGCAGTTTTTTCTGTGGTTTGATATCAGGTTGCCTTTATCATACAAATGATTTTTAGCAAACACACTAAGGTGCATGGTTTATAAAATATAAATTATTTTTTCTCCATATGTGTGCAATTCAGCTTTTATTTTACTTGCCATTTGTTTCAATAGTTAGTTGTATGTTGTAAAACATTTTCAAGAAGTTGCTTCTGAGAGGAAATTGTCATGATGGTTTTTCTGTAAATTTTCGCAGATTTTTTCCCACTGATAAAGAAGCAGTGAATTGTCTGTTTATGCCTGGTGCTATAATCTAGAAAATAAGAACCTGTAGGTTCTCTTAGTCTCAAGAAATCCATGTTCACTTTACTACATTTTTATTTTTGATTTGGAATGTTTATCCATAATGAACAAGTACATCATTCTATTTTCTGTCAGGAAATGCACTTCCATCCTAAGGCTCTAAAAGGAGTCAAGGGTTCCATTGGGTCTCCAATGCCTGGAAACGTGGTAGACATCAAGGTGAAGGAAGGGGACAGGGTTAAACAGGGAGATACTCTTTTGGTGCTGTCCGCCATGAAGATGGAAATGACTGTCACTGCTCCAATTGATGGCATTGTGAAAAAAGTAGCTGTCACAAAAGACATGAAACTGGAGGGAGATGATTTGTTAATGGAAATTGAGGCCTGATTGAGTTGATCATTTAGTGAATATTAATATATAGTTAAAATTTTTAAAAAAGAAAAAAAAAATGCCAGCTTTGTTGTATTTGATGCTTTAAATAATGGCAAGTTTGAATATTATGGCATGGAATGCATAATTGTGTGTATGGAAGGAATGATTATACAATTGTTATATTAATTGCCATCGTCTTGATGCCATACTAAAAAAATATTATTAATAGTACTGATAGTAGATAGAATTATAGGTTAAATGTCTAGTCCATATACTTAAACCACAGCTAGATAATGCACAAATACAGCTGAGGTTGGCATCTTCTTAACATCATGGATTTGAAATCTGTTAATATGCCATGTATACTAGTATAGGAAGATGGTTAAAACTAATGTTAACAGAAGGGGTGTCGGTGCTCTTATAAGAAACTTTTTTTTTTTAATTTCATTTTTTTCTGATTTTATTATTTGTGCAGAGTGGATTTTTTGGGTGTTTTTTTTTTATTTTTTTTGAGTAACAAAAATGAATATTTGCAAATATAGGTGGATGTCATTGCTTTGTATATACTTGTGTCAGGATTGGAGTTCACATTTACAATTGAAATGTTTACGTCTAAATTTTATTTACACAATTCAATGAAAAACTGAGAATATCTAGACCATTGTATAATGAAGTGCTTTTGAAAAACAAAACCTCAAAGGGATCTTTTGATTGCCCAGTATAATCAGGCACAAGCAATATTTTGTTTTGAATAAAATGTAGTATGTAAATATTTTGTGTGGTGTTCAAGTTCTTCGTCATTGAAAAAAAAGCAGGAAATCTGATAGTTCTACAAAAGTGTAAAATAATTTGAAAAAAAAAGACGGAAGGGTGGCCCACTCTACTAATTAGACTCTTGGATCCCTTTAATAAAAAGCACTGTAAAGAAAGGAACAACCTTCAAAGTTGTCGCAAGAACTGGCACTTGACTACATTCTTGTGATGCGAGAAAATACCACTGCAGGACCGATAATCATAGTGGCTATTAATATGTTAAAAGGATTCTTCCAGCACAGCTGTCGCAAAAAAACCTGGTGTCATACATGATTAGCCCCATAAAACGAATCCGTTCTTTAAAACCGGTAAATTGACAGTGAAGATATTTGTCGATGTTGAAAATAACTTGAATAAATAAAGAATACCTAAGTTGAACTGATTCCACTGTTAGCCTTTCCCTGGGCCGCAGATTGATTTTTCACTAGATATTCAGAGATACATATCTGGCAAATTCGTGATATTTTATTCTACTGCCCAATTTTGGTATGGAATTAATTGCGTCACACAGTTGGCCCCTTTTTCTGACACATTCTATAAGAACGGTAACGGTTTTGAATACCTGCACGAAGTAGTCCGATAATACGTGAGGATATATATATATATATATCTCGTGGGCCCCATGGCTAGTTGCACTATACCCTGTATCAAAATTTTCTATAAATTGTTTCAGATTGATAGATGCGTTTTTTTAACACAAACATGCAAATGAATGTCGTGCTTATGCTTTGAGATCGGCCTTTTTTATGTAATAATTCGGACAAGCTTCAGATCAAAGTAGAACGTAATTGACTGACACTAAATGAACGCACATACATGTACAGTCCAGTATACACTCCACTCTTCCTAATTATTAAAGTTTAGTCGATCTAGTGATTTAATCATACTTTCTTGACATCAATTTACAGTAATGGCTTCGGCAGTAAATGGATATTTGTAAATGTTTAAACAGTCTAATGGAAAATTGTAATGCAGTGAGTGAACTTACTGATTCACTTTGGATAATACATGATAAAAACAGTAAGAATGACATACATATTTCATGTGTTAAAAGTACTCAAGTGGAAAACAACCCCTGCAAAGGGAGAAACAATGTATTAAGTTGGGCAAATAGAAAATAAATGAATATTTTTTAGGTGTGAAAACGATCGAATAGTAAGTGGTTGTCACAGAAGATGAACAACGGTATTCAGTGGGATACTTATAAAAATTATAATCGGATATGGTAAAGTTCTGTTAATCGTTTGTCAACCCAATTATAATTAGCTACGGTGATGGGATTAGCTATTTTGTTTTTTATAAAAAGTTAAAACTTTACTACCGGGCCTAACCCTAAAACCGTTTTCTTCAGTTATTGGGTTGGCCTTCCCCCTTAAGGGCTCTCTCAAGTTCAATCTGTTTAATGGCAGTCTTACCCGTAGGTATTACAAGTCACTCGATATATGCCACTACACCAGGGATTCAATTCACGTCAATTTGTACTGGTCTCCTATGCTACTTATTTTACCATCTCAAACCACATTAGATAATGAATACGAACTTCCTAGCAAACACAGATCGTTATTAGAACGTTACCATTACGTTATGGTAACATTCTAGTAACGAGCTGTGTTGGCTGGGTTTAAGATCGCAAACAAAAAGAGTATTATGTAACTCTGCAGTTTGTCTTTTTTTCAACCTTAATTTCATTTTTTCAAATATGAGGAAAACTACATTTTGGAGGTGCAGCTCTAACAGTAATTCGGTTATATTAGGTCTTTATTTATAATAGAAGCCCCTATATATAGTATTCGTGCGAATGTCGCTTGATTTATTCATGTACTTCGTTCTCAGTTGTAAGCCCATTTTGTCATCAAGAAAGCTGTAGTTAATGGAATATTGCTATAAATATCAATTTGCTAATCGTATTTAACATGTTCTTCAAACGCGTTTTCTAGGCAAAGGCCTATATGATTGAACAGAAGCTTGCGAGATGGATTGCCACCCAAAGTTATATATACCAAATTGAAATTGCAAGTCAAAGTTATATAAATGTTAACAAACTACAATCTGCACTTTTATCTTAAAATCAGTCCTTTAAAAGCTTTTTAACTTGGTGTATGGGGAGGGGCAGAAAAGATCACGTTCAAAATCTTTATAGGGTCTTAATTTTGCAGCAGATCTGCTATTATTCTGTGTATTCAGGCAGTCAGGTAGACTATAAGGGCAACTTTTTCTGAATCGAGTGAAGGCATTTGTTGATTCCAATATGTTAAAATGCAGATCCATGTGTATTGAACTCGATAAACATTGATATTATATGAAAATAACTAATTACGTAACGTCACACAATTTCGCGTGCGTAGAAATGTAAAACGTCATGCATGCGCTTTGTTGATTATGACGCGATGATGACGTAGCCAAACATTCATGACGTCATGATGGTCTCCAGGAAGTAGAATGACAACCATTTGAAATGCTGTCTGAAGATTTATATCCCCTCCGCTATGAAAAGGAATTTTGTAAGGTATCTAACCATGCACGGTTTGTAAGGTAACCAAATATGCACAATTTTCATATTGATAATGTGCATGCTAATAGTTTTTGTCCTCGAAATAAGGTTGGCACCTGCATTTTTATTCAAGCCTATTTTTATTATAGGCCCCTACTGTTTTTAAACTGTTTTGCTGATAGAGTCACGTTACAATTTTAGCTATTTAGTAGAGCAAAGTGCCTATGGTTTAAAGTGTCGTGAGAGTGAGAGAATGAGTGAGAGAGAGAGAAAGTTCACAAGACAATTTTAAGCAAATCAGATTTTGAGAAGCGTTCTTCACACCGTTCGTCTGATCGCTTATCACCTGAAAATCGTTCAGAATACAAAATACTACCCTAAATACGCTTATTTACAATTATCCTATTTTATAGAAGAAATGTCTTGTTACCCCTCTTGATACCTAATAATTTTTAAGATTTAGTGTCTGACCTTCCGAGAGTGGCTACCCTTTTTGCGTTCTGCAGTTCTGTGTGATTCTTTGATTTTATGTTATAGGCCTACTACGTCTGTTATAAAATGAAGCACTCACTATTTTCTTGAAAAGGTCAGTTAAATGCCATGGACAGAAACCTAAGTTTTTTGAAACGTTTTCTTTTCAGTTGTGTCTTCTGTTTTTTAATCGTTGCAACCGGTGAAACAAAAGATGTTGAGACTCTTTTAAAGTTGGATGCTGAAAAAGATCTCCGTGAGCAAGCAGAGGATTATCTTACAATCGACAATACTAATTTCATAAAACTAGAATCTGAAACAATAGAACTGAATTGTAATACCAAGTATTTAAAGGCATGGCGGGGAGAATTTCCAACTGGGAACCTAAAATGGTTAAAGAATGGAAAATCATTTGAATTAGATGCATCACGGATGTTCAACGAAGACCAAGTGTTGACAATAAGTAACTTGCAACCATCTGATACAGGTGTTTATTTGTGTCAATGGGAATTCGTTATACAGACAATAAAAAGAAAGGGTTTATTTGGAACGAAAAAGAAAGCCCTTTTACGTACTCCAACTGTAGGAGTGTTTTCAATTGCCGTGAGAAGTAAAAAGCCACTCATCAACACGCGAGCCGGGCTAAGTGTAGAACTAGATTGCCATGGTGCGACTCTGGGTGCATTGTTGAATAAAACAAATCAACGTTGGTATTTAAATGGCAAAGTCGTCATTGACTACAAGTCGACGCCACCTCAAGATGTCGAAAAGCAGACGATCGAGGTGAAACCAGGAATGGCGGGAGAATGGACATGCGTCATTACGCATACTCCAACCATGAAATACTGGGTAACTGCTTGTTTTTTAATGACAGTAGGTCCGTCGCTTTCTATATGGGAGAAAATGATTCGACAACCTTTTTATCTGATATGTTTTGTCTTAGCTGTAGCTTTTATTGCTGCAATCCCGATCATGTTGCTTATGGGACGTTTTCAGAGCAAACATAAAGAAGCTCAGGCACAATATGAAAAATTCAAAGACAAATTTGGAGATGGCAAGTCACCGTTTGTGGGAGACACAGACGATGAAAACGAAGAATATAAGGATGGCGCTAGTTCAGAGGAAGAGGAGGAAGAGGAAGGGGAGGAAGAGAATGAAGAGGAGATGGAAACGTATGAAGTAGCTCACACCCCGGCATTTAATCGCGACGTAAACCAGATAAACAGTGTTCCTGTGAATGGTGCCTTTACAGGGTTGAATGACATCTTAACCAGAGCATTTCAACCAAATGACAACAACGCGGGATTTAATATACAGAACTTCTTTCAAGGCGCAACACACCGACCGCAAAGTCCTTTGGAAGAGGAAGTTATTCCCAAAGATTCTCCCACACGTCTTCCTCCTATGCAATCTTTGCATAGGCAAAACACAAGTAGTTTGATTGAGGCGGAAGAAACCGGTTACGCGCAACACCCTGGAGAGATGCCTATGTCAGTGGCAAGCGCGTCAACATTTGCTGCCGACACCTCGATCTATTCACAAATATCACCTGAAGCTTCCTTATTTAACTTACGCACACCCAGAGTTTCTCAAAATGTGGTACAAAACCCCATGCACAACTACTATCAAAATGAAGTCACCTCTCACAGCCAAATAGATTCAGTGGGAGGTTATCCTGAGCCAGAGGACAGTCGAGCACCTTCCTATGTGTCAATGTCAGCGGGTTCCGAGAGTAGGAATCAGTTCCCTCCACCTTTAACTCCAGGTCGCTCACCTATAGAGAACATGCTACGAAAGCGCAACTACTATCAAAATGAAGTCGCCCCTCACAGCCAAATAGATTCAGTGGGAGGTTATCCTGAGCCAGAGGACAGTCGAGCACCTTCCTATGTGTCAATGTCAGCGGGTTCCGAGAGTAGGAATCAGTTCCCTCCACCTTTAACTCCAGGTCGCTCACCTATAGAGAACATGCTTCGAAAGCGTCTGGAACTTACTGGACCCCCTTTTCACCCCGGGGAACAGTAATGAACCCCTTATTACCCTGAGAAAGAGTGGTACCCCCCTCCCTTTATCAACCTGGAGAAATGTGATAACACGTTTTCATGTTTTGTGAGTCTGGCAATGCCACCAGAACACCTGTTTTTGCTAAGAAGATTAGACTAATTTATCGGGATTGTAATTTGTGTGGAACTGTCATCTCCCGTGAGGTAAAAACAAACACGCTGTATATTTTTTGGTTGATCAAATTTACATTTGGTTAATTCACTTATTTCTGTGCCATCAATAAATCTCATTTTCAAAGTAATATGTATATTTTTTGTCTTTTGGCAGACATACAAGTACGTCGTGAACAAAAGCATAGTTTGTTAACATCTTTTTTTTTTTTTGCGTAATCCAATCATTGCATCTATCCACAAGGCGAGTGTATTTTGCCAATATAACTTTGCTCCTGATTAAGAAACAGATGCTTTTAGATGTACTTCCTACTTTAAACCCCAGAATGATGTCCTCAGTGCTCAAGTCACCGGAAACGCTTAGTTTAGTTCATTTGTATGATATCTTGTTTCTGAAATCTATTTAATGGACAGGTTTACGGATCGATTACCATTTTTGCTCTCGGCAAATGTTTCATCGCAAAGTCATCTTTGAGGATGTTATGAATAATAGATATTGTATGTAAGGACGCGTTCTATTGATTCACTGTGTCTAGAATCCAAATCTTGCCTAGAGAACATCCACTTTTTTATAAATGGATTGTTTTTTTAAATCAAGATTACTATTCATTACTCCCATATTCCTACCTATAGAACAATTAGATTTCTATTTTTACATGGGCCAGAAATCATATTATCATTGCCTGGCAAGGGTAATTGCAACTTGAATTTTTCCTTCAGCTGTATCCTTTTTGAAGTGAAATTAATGTCCCCAAACTGTGTAGTACAACTGTAGCTTTCCCCCCAATGAAAACAAATTTTATTTTTAAAATTGCGCCACTAACTATAATAGTGCAGATTTAAATGCCAATGTCGCTTTTACTAATGACACTGAAAATGTTCACCGTAGATCTAATGGTTTAGAAAGAATGTGTTGATTTTTCGCCAGTGCTCTACTGTGCTGTGTGGACACTAACTCACACACGTTCGCGTGTGCGCGCGTAGCACACCACCAACCACCTCTGGCACTCTCATCGTCTGCTTCTCCATTCAATGTCTAAAGGACAACATATGGTTTTGTGACCCCAAAACGGAGTTCAGCTCAGGCCTCCAACCCACAGAGCGTAAAACTTGCATAGCGTGGCAATCTTTTAGGTGAATTATAAATGATATTTGTCATCTTTATCAGAATGAGATTATCAGTCAGATGTAAATGTGCCATTTATTCATATCTCAAAGTGGAAGCTTGCCTTACGGTCGGGTGATAAACGATAGCGTACTTGAAAAGGAAAATAAGTTCCAATAATAAATGTGATTAGATCACCAGTCAGAGAAGCTTGTTTTTTCCCCGGCAGATGCAAGTTATGCCTAAAAACATGTCTCCGGTGTTAGATTGTCATGGTAAAGTGTTTTTATAGTCTCTATGTAACTCCCTCAAAGAGATTCTGAAATGCTTTTTCCTGAGAACCATTTTTGCAGAAAATGCAGGATAATGTGTGGTTAACGCACAGACATTACTATTATCATTCAACAAACGTCCAACTGCTGTTCATATATGGAGAAAGTCTGTTCTTTTTCCTATTAGTATGAGTTTCACTTGGACCCAATGCTGGATGTTCAAAAGCCTAATTGGGCACATTGTCCACGTTAGCTGCAGACATATATTGACACCAATAATAAGCCCTTCTGGCAAGTGGCGCAAGTCTCACTACTCGCGTGTCCTCCTTGTAATGGTGTAATGTAGTCGCTCATACTGAGTTTTCTGAATTGACGGCCATTTTGATTTTTCAGAAATACTAAAAGTTGTGCGAATATCACCAAAGCTGATTATGTTTTTAAACGACAATAAATACATTTATATATGTAAACACACATGTAGAAAACGTTTTGAAAGAAATTGTAGAACAGAACATTTATAAGTAATCATTTCCAACCTGCATTTAGTGCCCAGTACAACAATTATTATCTTTAAAAGATTCGCAGTAAAGAACATTTCAGGGCCAACATTTTGGCATTTGACTAAAAATACAGAGCTGGAAAATTGTGGAAATTAAGTAAAGTTTCTGCATCACATCCGAGTTGGAAAATACTTTTCCCTTTACAGGCACTATTTCCTGTTATATTACCCTAATTCACTTACCAAACCAACTTTGGCAAAAGATATGACAGCATTTGCGAGGAAACAAAAAAAACCTATTTCAAATGTTGATTTAACGTGTAAAGATCAACGGAAAAGCACGAGTCGATGCTTCAACGTTTGCACTGTTTTGCAACATTGCTTCAGAGCTTTGTTCACAATACCGTTACCTGTCTATTGGGAGACACTGATTAAAGTACTTCACTGTATCAGCAAGTGTTGGCCTTAAAATGCAGTCAGTAGGTAAATATGTGCCACATACTGTGTCACAAAAGAAATTGAAGTAAAACACATGCAGTGCACATGCCAAAGACCTCAGTAAACAGATGAAGAGGCTTCATGGTCATTGGTTATCGTCATTTGATGTCCGGGGGATCCATAAACTTCAAAGACATGATCACGAAAATGCTCTTAATTGTTAAATTATTCAAAGAGAGCATCGATTTGAGAATAGGTAAAATGCATCTCTGAAAGATGGTAAAAGATGAATGATTCTACAAATGTTAGATAGTTTAATCACATCTAAGCTACTTAAGCTCGGAGACCTTTGGGGAATTCTGACCTTAGACATTCTCAATGTAAAATAATAACAATATCATTTTTCACTTTCGTCTCATCACTGTGTACATACACTGTAATAAAACAAACTAAGTTTGTGTTAATTTAACTATAAAATGGAACTCAAAGAAGTTTGGCTATTACAGATACAATTTCTTCGTGATATTCTTTTAATTTTTTTACTTTCGGCGTCATTACGAATAACGAAAAACCTATGTTAACCAATAGGGAATTCAGGCATCAAAAGTTATGGCTTCAGTGAAAATAATCTTCCTGTTTATTTATACTACATGCAGTATCTTTTACACCTCAAACATCCACTTTGCATCACGAAATGAGTACTTCAATCTACCAGCCCATTTTCACATTGTCATCTGTCATATTTTGACTTGGCAATCAAGGACCGGTATCATACAAAAATGACTTCGAGTTCGAAGGGTTGTCTTTCAGATAGCGAATTTCGGTCTGTTTTGACACAGGATAAATCGTCGGTAGCCCACCCCAATAAGGATATTAAATTGGGTCTGTATTACCAAACTGACCGGGGAGACTTATCCAGGTGGAAGGGTAATGGCATGATATCACACACGATATGCCTCTCCTCTATTGCCTCCCTGACCGCCGTGCATTTATAAGAGAGGAAGAAAAGGAAAAGTAGAGGCAGGATGACGGATTAAAATATCTATTATGGAAAACTAAATAAGACGGTTTGAAATAGACATGAGTAAAGTGGAAGTAAAAATTCAAACACAAAGGGGAAATAGATTACATAAACTCGTCAAAGAAATATTATGAAAATAAGTTAACGCACGTACTTATCGGGAGATTTACATGCACCTGCTTTATAAAGCAAGGTATTACATCACATGTATTATTTTCATTTCCATGTGTTGATCCACTTCCTGATTTGAACTACAATCAGCCAGCAATTAAGACATCTCCGGATGTTCCCTTAACAGCCAAGGAGAACTGAAGAATAGATTGAATTATTATCACTAAGCGTCATCAGGATGCGATGTGCAAATATTTAAAACATCTCAGTAACAGAATGATATTCCAAAGAGACCAACGAAAGGAAAAATATATATACATAAACTATATATTCATTAAATATACATGTAAGTACATGTATATATACATGGGCAGGTCGCCTAAAGATTAACATCTGTACGATCTCCAACATGAGACGCTTTGCAAAAGCATTTTGAAAAATCATTATTGTATTTTACGTTTTCTGTAATTACTTTTCTGATTGGTTAATTACACAAAATGGGTCTCACTACGGCCAAATTCTATCACAAATTAATCTGTCTGATACTCGTTGGGTCTATCGATAAACTTAGGAGTCGTAAAAAGTAGGGTAATAGCTTCACTTTTTTTTCTTTGCAAGAAGCCAAGAAGCTAACCTTGTTGCAAAAGCTCTGACGAATATCAATTGTATAATTCAATGGTAAGTGGATGTGTACTGCTGTCGCTAATTGCTGAAAAACACTTTACCAGAGGTGATAAATGGAAGCGTTGTCGCCTAGGATAGGTGTTACACCTGTTAGTTTCGTGTAAAACTTCAACAAAATGGTACTCAATAAAATTCTCTAGTGTTTTTATTTTAGACTATAGCTAAGCTGTGACGAAGCTTAGACTCAATAAATTCTAAATAACTGTGTTTTTACCATTAGGCAGCTCATGCAATTAGTACAGATATTTTACGAACGCACATTTTCACGCTTTTTCAGGTTTTTCGCTAAGTGATTTGGTAAATTGGCAAATGCTATTTCAACATAGCGATGGCTATGAAATTACCAGAATAGTTTTATTGACAACCTGTTAGTGTCTATTTCGGCAAACCATGGATTTTAGGAAGGGCGGATTGATTTACGTTGACTTTAGGAAGGGCGGATTGATTTACGTTGACTTGTATTTAAGGCAATGCGTTTTACATTTAACAGGCCAAAAATGATAGAATAGAAAGGATCGAAGGATCGAAGGTACATCATTATATCTAGGTAAGTATACGTCAAATCCAATGGTATCGCACAATCCGGACACTAATGTACTGAATCTGAAGTTACCAGCCCCATCTAACGACAAAGAACGGTACACGAGGACTTTGCATGTTTTGTTTGACGGCAAACGTCACGATTTTGACAACATATTGCACAGTGCTGACATTTATTATTAAATTTTTTTCAAATCATTTTCTTCTATTTTTCTGAGTAATAAACGAAAACAAAAGTTTAAATCGTATTTCATAGTTCTTTATAATTTCTTCAGTGTCGTTGTTCGTTTATTGAGTTCATCAATAGAGCATTGCAAAATTACACATTTGCAAGAAATATTTGTGAAAATAGATTTTATTTCTTTAAGGACTTTGGTAGTTTACTACAGCCCCGTTCCTCTCTCACTGAGCAATAAATGATAATTATATAGTTCATAGTGGGTACATGTATATCATGTGCATGGTTTGGTAAGATTAAAGAAGATATCATAATAACAACAATATATGATAGAGACAGAGACAGTACAAGAGAAAAAGTTCATCAGTAGCTCTTGGGCTTTTCAAGGTCTCAAAGGTTATTTCAGTTGGACGGTGGGACAATAGTAAACCGAACAGACAGACGAACATCTCGAGTGCTTGTTAAGACATACGACGTCATCATCTCCTTCTAGAGGTGCTTGATTCGTTTCGTTACAAAATCAATTTTGCTAGAAAGAATCTACCAGCTGTGTGTTGTTGTGCGTTTGTGTGCTCTCGTGAGAGAAGTTAGAACAAGTACAGCTGATATTTGAAATCAGCGTCTTGTCATCGCACACAGAAAATAATTAAATTAAGAGAGAAAGGCAAAAATCCATCATTTGACGGCATAGTGATGAATGTGTGTCCGTGACGGTCCCATGCTTTACTTTCTTCTCCACATTCCAATTTCTAATTTCTTCAGAGAAGGGCATTTGTAGAGCAGCAAGCGGCTTGCTGGGATTCCTTGAAGAAAGTCCATCATACAGAATTCGTTTGCGCAGGGCATGAGGTATTTTTCGTCCTGAAACGAAAATAAAAATAAATAAATAATATGTATTAATATAGAATAAACACGTTTGTGTACTTAATGGGGAATGGGAGTGGTTCTCGGCTTCCTTGTCTGCCGAAGCAAAAAGTCGGAATAACGTCACCCCCCTCCCGAAATTTTTAGGAAATCTGGGGCACTTGTTATTACATGTGCATGTTTAGGGAAATCAACACAAACTATGGATCCAGGAAACGAAACAATTTCCCATCCTAATGGATATCGTAATGTTGTCTTTGATGTTTCAGAGAACATTGAGATCAGGAACTACCCGAGGCCATTGGTGTCAGATTATCGAAACAATCGGACTTTAATTAACACAAGATGTCATTTAATCATTGCAAGCACTGTCAAAGCTCTTTTTTCTAGTGCAGAGATATGTGATTATATCCCATGGCAATCAGACAACCTGAAACTGTTTGGAAACTTTTTTGTCAAAAGCTGCATTTCAAGGTGATTTTAAAGGAAAGAAAAACATTTTTTTAGATCAAACAGCGAGTTCAATGATTAGTATGGCGTATTTTTTGCGGTCGTATGATAATTGATTTATTTTTAATATTTCAAATAAACCACTTGGCTATCGGCTAAATGCTCTATTATATGATTGCTGATGTATTTCGGCTGATCAAAATAAGAAGCGATGGAGATTTTTTTTTGTCTTTTATTTACTAAAATGCGATAAAGTAGCAGACGACAACTTACCTTTCCATCAAAACACACCAAACATTGTTCTAAACACAATTTTACATCGTATACATCATCTCTCGGCTTTTTGGGTGCTGCCGCAATCGTTGAAAGGACAACGAAGAAGGTTGCTACTGCCACGAGTATCACAGGAGATTTCATCTTTATTCTGTTCTTCTAAAAAGGAAATAAAAATTAAAATTTTTAATATCAGAGCGGCGCTAAAAACTCATAAAATTACGTTTCTTTCCAGGACGGATAACAGAGACACTGCTATCTGTTGGTTAAAAGCCATGGGGGCATTTTGTTTGCCAAAATAAACCAACCTTTGATATTAATAATAACCATATAGCGCGTCATATTTTAAAACATATACAATGATAATTTGTAATGAAATTACATGTCTCACACGGAAACAGGCGAGAGGTAATAAAATATTTTGAAAAAATGAATGACGTGAAGTTGATATCTGGCATTACTTGAGAACTATCTGGAGTGTGATCTAAAACTGTTTCATTATGGATAATTTTGCGCCAACAACTCGTCCCCTATATTTTTAAGACTTTAAACTCCCCAAACTTTTGATGATAAACACTTTTAAAAGTACTCATCCAAAAAGAAAGACGATTTGGTATCAACCAAATTTTACTCATGCCAATTAAATGAGAGAAATTAAAAATTATTGAATACTTTTTGAGTTTATCTGCTTACAGACACACACAAATTAATAATAAAATAATATAATACAGAATAAAAATGAATATATCTAGAGAGGTCCCGATACCCCTGCCACTAAGCGATGAAAATAACTGCGGACTACATTTGTATCGCATAATCAAGTATACACATCATGTTTAGCCAAAAAATGAGCAACGGTTCCGGTTTAAATGGGATTACGTCTGAACCGTAATGATTCTCATCTGTTACGGCTTTCTATTAATGCTTTGTCTTAACAAAGTATCGATATAAAGTATCGTTTCAGTGACGTGCCGTTTACGCGATGACAAATAAAAGCCAAGGTGTTTACCCCATTACTGTACCCTACGGACACTCTCGTCGCCTTACTGTACCCCCTGACGCCTTTACTGTATCATTCCTACCGCCTTTTCTGAACTAATGACGCCTAACGTACCCCTGACGGGCTTATTAGTACCATCGCCCTAGCTGTACATCCTTGAAGCTACTTCTGTAACCCTTGCTACTCTTACTGTACCCCCCTCGACGCCTTCACAGTACCCCTGTGCCATCTGTACTGTATTCCCCCACTTTCCAGTAACACCTGCATCAATCATCGCCTATCAAGCATTGTTAGTTGACAATGCGACTGGCATTTATCTCCTATTCGCCAAATGAATAAACATCGTGCAAAAAGCAACTAGATTTATTCCTGTTTTATGACCTGAACCTGCCTCAGAATGTAGATAAAAGCAATGACATTTATTGTGTGCCTGTGAGTGATTCAGTGCATATTTAACGCTATGCGCTGGTATTCNTTCGCGCAGGGCATGAGGTATTTTTCGTCCTGAAACGAAAATAAAAATAAATAAATAATATGTATTAATATAGAATGAACACGTTTGTGTACTTAATGGGGAATGGGAGTGGTTCTCGGCTTCCTTGTCTGCCGAAGCAAAAAGTCGGAATAACGTCACCCCCTCCCAAAATTTTTAGGAAATCTGGGGCATTTGTTATTACATGTACATGTTTAGGGAAATCAACACAAACTATGGATCCAGGAAACGAAACAATTTCCCATCCTAATGGATATCGTAATGTTGTCTTTGATGTTTCAGAGAACATTGAGATCAGGAACTACCCGAGGCCATTGGTGTCAGATTATCGAAACAATCGGACTTTAATTAACACAAGATGTCATTTAATCATTGCAAGCACTATCAAAGCTCTTTTTTCTAGTGCAGAGATATGTGATTATATCCCATGGCAATCTGACAACCTGAAACTGTTTGGAAACTTTTTTGTCAAAAGCTGCATTTCAAGGTGATTTTAAAGGAAAGAAAAACATTTTTTTAGATCAAACAGCGAGTTCAATGATTAGTATGGCGTATTTTTTGCGGTCGTATGATAATTGATTTATTTTTAATATTTCAAATAAACCACTTGGCTATCGGCTAAATGCTCTATTATATGATTGCTGATGTATTTCGGCTGATCAAAATAAGAAGCGATGGAGATTTTCTTTGTCTTTTATTTACTAAAATGCGATAAAGTAGCAGACGACAACTTACCTTTCCATCAAAACACACCATACATTGTTCTAAACACAATTTTACATCGTATACATCATCTCTCGGCTTTTTGGGTGCTGCCGCAATCGTTGAAAGGACAACGAAGAAGGTTGCTACTGCCACGAGTATCACAGGAGATTTCATCTTTATTCTGTTCTTCTAAAAAGGAAATAAAAATTAAAATTTTTAATATCAGAGCGGCGCTAAAAACTCATAAAATTGCGTTTCTTTCCAGGACGGATAACAGAGACACTGCTATCTGTTGGTTAAAAGCCATGGGGGCATTTTGTTTGCCAAAATAAACCAAGTTTTGATATTAATAATAACCATATAGCGCGTCATATTTTAAAACATATACAATGATAATTTGTAATGAAATTACATGTCTCACACGGAAACAGGCGAGAGGTAATAAAATATTTTGAAAAAATGAATGACGTGAAGTTGATATCTGGCATTACTTGAGAACTATCTGGAGTGTGATCTAAAACTGTTTCATTATGGATAATTTTGCGCCAACAACTCGTCCCCTATATTTTTAAGACTCTAAACTCCCCAAACTTTTGATGATAAACACTTTTAAAAGTACTCATCCAAAAAGAAAGATGATTTGGTATCAACCAAATTTTACTCATGCCAATTAAATGAGAGAAATTAAGAATTATTGAATACTTTTTGAGTTTATCTGCTTACAGACACACACAAATTAATAATGAAATAATATAATACAGAATAAAAATGAATATATCTAGAGAGGTCCCGATACCCCCGCCACTAAGCGATGAAAATAACTGCGGACTACATTTGTATCGCATCATCAAGTATACACATCATGTTTAGCCAAAAAATGAGCAACGGTTCTGGTTTAAATGGGATTACGTCTGAACCGTAATGATTCTCATCTGTTACGGCTTTCTATTTTAACAAAGTATCGATATAAAGTATCGTTTCAGTGACGTGCCGTTTACGCGATGGCAAATAAAAGCCAAGGTGTTTACCCCATTACTGTACCCTACGGACGGCTTTTCATACCCTACTCCTCTTGTCGCCTTAACTGTACCCCCTGACGCCAATACTGTATCATTCCTACCGCCTTTTCTGAACTAATGACGCCTAACGTACCCCCTTATTAATACCATCGCCCTAGCTGTACATCCTTGAAGCTTCTTCTGTAACCCTTGCTACTCTTACTGTACCCCCCTCGACGCCTTCACAGTACCCCTGTGTCATCTGTACTGTATTCCCCCACTTTCCAGAAACACCTGCATCAATCATCGCCTATCAAGCATTGTTAGTTGACAATGCGACTGGCATTTATCTCCTATTCGCCAAATGAATAAACATCGTGCAAAAAGCAACTAGATTTATTCCTGTTTTATGACCTGAACCTGCCTCAGAATGTAGATAAAAGCAATGACATTTATTGTGTGCCTGTGAGTGATTCAGTGCATATTTAACGCTATGCGCTGGTATTCTTTTTTTTTTTTTTTTTTTTTTT